TTTATGTGCACTGAATAATAATATTTTTTGGGTAGATAGATAATGCATAATTATCGCTTCGGCCGGCAAAAAACTCATCTTTATCTCTAACCAGCTTCAGAAACAAATCCTTCACAAACGGCTAAGTAACCACAGAATTAGTCCCTCAAACTCGATCCACAACAGTCCCATTGATCACTCAGTATACCCACCAGGAAAAATAAAAGGGAAAAGCTTATAACGTAAACAATGTGACACTTACGTTACACTACCCTCATCTAAATGCAAATGGAAAAAAGGAGACATTTGAGAGTGTTCCGGTGCTTACATGCGGTGAAGGGATTCTTGCACGGATTTGATGAGTGGGTCACGGGGGATGTCCGGTGAGTGGTGAGTAGAATTGCGTCACCAATCGCCCGATTTAGATCCGCGTCTGTCCACCAGAAGAGACAAACAAATGAAACGCAAGTACGATGGAAACCAAACAGCAAATAACTTTGCAAATTTACTACATTCTACTCTGTTGTGTTATGACAAGCCGTTTGATAAAACAAAACTTTATATCGTGTCAGGGGCAAAAATTATTGTTATTTTTCAGTGTCAGCGCAAACGCTATAGTAATAAGTGAATTTGTTCTATTAGTCAATTTTTGTGCCAAATTTTGTGTCGGAAAAAATATACAAGTAGTCCATATCCCATCGTCAGATACTCATACTGATAACATTGGATGTGTTGAAATAATATTGGATAAATCTTTATCCACGAAATATTAAATAACGACTTCTAAAATTGAATCACTTTCTTTCTTTTATTGTTGAATTGTTAATTAAGCGCGTATACTATAAGCGACTTACATAAAACCTGTAATACTTCAGCATAAGGCTCATTTAAGCCGTAAAATAGCCGTTGACTAATTACGCGAATAGCGGAAGGAAAGTCTATAATTCAGATACTAGACGATTGGTTTAAGGATAGGCAAGTGACGATTACCCTGACTAGTTCACATACCAAGTCGACAATCGCCCTATTTAAGCATTTTTTGTGATAGTGTTGCTTATTTCGAGTAGTCTAAATAAAACAAAAGAAATTCGAACACCCAACACCGAATTATGTCGATAGAATTTTATTCGTAATTTATTACAAATGACAAAACATTTATAACGATAAAGCTAAATTATATATATTTATATATATATATTTATTTATTTATTTAAAATTTTGAAGATATCCGAAATGTTAAATTAGGTCACTTGTAGATTTAGTGTTAGATTCCGTTGCAAAAACAATCACTGAATAAGGGCAGTGAGCTAAAGCTAAATTAGAACATCTCCTCGCCTACGCGAAAGATATCACTCTCCCACAACCCAGACTGCTGACCACAATAACTGAGTCCTAAAGTCATTACCTGTTGTAGACATCAAACTTATCGGTTAACAGAGCCTGCTGATAATTTAAACTGCGACCAAATAGGGGGCGCAATTGGCGTAGCTTCTGCTTTCCTTTTAATAGCCCACTCAATAGTTCGCCTTCTCTAACCTCTTCTTCTCTTTCATTCATTGTCGTCAAGTCCATACTTTACCTTTTCCAGTTGTTCTTGGACTTCTTCACTGGTATCATTTTTTTTTGTGAATGAAGAAAAACAACGCGCCATTGTTTACACATACAACAGCATTAGTACAGTATTACACTAATTGTGACGTAATTCAATAGTCTATCGATGACAAAATTTGAGGAATGCCTTCTCCCAATTTGTTGATTAACGATGTCTCAAACATTCTATAACGAGTGGCTAGAGGCAAGCATTCATGAACGTGGAAATGACTTAGAACTAGACCCTATATATATTGGTCATGGAGCATTTGGAGTAGTATACAAGGCGCAGGAAACCGGCATCGGGAACATTATCTCTGACACTACCGTTGCGGTGAAGATGTTGCTTCAAGACAGACATGGAGATTATGAAGAAGATTTGCATAAGCAATTAGTTAAAGAGGTTGTCTATTATAATCCTTTATGCTAGTCGCATTTATTTTGTACATAGACTAATTTTGAATAAATGTTATGCTAATACGTTAGCTAAAACGCCATAGCAAAACGAACAATCACCTTAATATTGTCCGTTTTTTTGGTTTGTACAAGGGTGTGTTAACAAAGGCTATTTATTTACTTGTTACTACAAGGAATTGCTTCTTAACGCTATCGTATTTTCAACACCTACAGACAAACATGAGAATTATCATATGATCTTTGAACTCGCTGATGGTGGAAATTTACATGAATACTTAAGGAAACATTTTAAAGCCTTGACTTGGAAAGACAAATACAAACTGGGCTTGGAAGTTATCAATGGACTGAACCATTAATAAGACGTTGATATTGTTCACAAGGATTTGGTATTTATCGCATACATTTCGATTGTATGTTTTGACCATTTTTGTCTTAAGCTGACGCATGGCGTTTTGTTTTCTAGTCATCGAGTAACATTCTTGTCACTCAGGAGTTGCAAAGATAACTGATTTCGGGTTATCAAGTGTGTTGAAACAAGCAATGTCCAAATCACGTGGAGAGGGCTCTGGTGTCGTTGAAGGAGAAATTTAGCCTTGGTGTAATACTATGGGAAATATCCAGCGGAAAAATCTCATGTGGAGGACGTACCGAAGCTGTTGATATCATTATGTATAGGCTTGAGGGCTCTCGTGATCCCTCATTTACTGGAACACCTGAAGAATATACTAGTCTGCATTCAGATTGTTGGGACGAAGACCCCAATAAGCGACCTTGTGTGCTAACATTTATGCGATATTGAAATGTTGTTATCAGATGGATGATCTTAACGAATTGTTGGAGATCGAACCAAACAATGCGTGGACATTGAGCATAAGGGGAGATTCTAAAACAATACGACAATTCACTTGACGATCTCAGCAAATCATTAGAGATTAAACCAAACGATGCGTGAGCATTGAAGCCAAAGGGGACGTGTCCATCTCGATTTAAAACAGTACGACAAGTCACTAATGGATCTCAACAAATCGTTAGAAATTGAACACGCGTGGGTATGAGGATATTTCTATCTAAGCCTAAAACAATACGGCAATTTACTAATTGATCTCAACAAATCGTTAGAGATTGAACCAAACGATGTGTCGATATTGCGTCGAGGGAAGATCGTATGTCTATATTGCGTCGAGGGAAGATTGTATGTCTAAGTCTAAAACAATACGATAGTTCACTGAATAATTTCAACAAATCGTTACAAGGGGAAGTGTCTATCTAAATCCAACCAGCACGATAATGCACCAAATGATGTATCGATATTGAGTATAAGGGGATGTATTTATCTATGTCTATACCAATACGACAATGCACTGAACGATCTGAACAAATCATTAGAAATTGAACCAAATGATGCGTTGGCGTTGAGTACAAGGGGAATTGTCTAAGTCTAAAACAATACGACAATTTACTAATTGATCTCAACAAATCATTAGAGATTAAACCAAATAATGCGTCGAAGAGGAGGTGTTTATCTAAATTTAAACCAATGCGACCATGCCTTCAACAACTCAGAGATTGAACCAAACAACGCGTGGGCATTGAGTGTAAAGGGAGGTGTCTATCTAAATCTAAACCAATACGACAACGCGTGGGCATTGAGTGTAAAGGGAGGTGTCTATCTAAATCTAAAACAATACGACAACGCGCTAATTGATCTCAACAAATCGTTAGCGATTGAACCAAACGACAAGTCAGCATTATATCGAAGGAGAGATGTCTATCTAAATCTAAAACAATACGACAATGCACTAATTGATAGCATGAAATTGTTATCATTAACGACTGAAGAACGTAGGGAGAGGATGAAAAAATTTCTGATTTAGATTCAGCAATTTCGTTGGCAATACCTGACATGTACGTTAGAACGAATTCCAATACGGTATATCAGTGTACTTCAAATTCAACTCTTTAATCGAGGAAATTTGAATAAGAAATAAAGCTTGTTTATATAGTTTTCGGGAATATTGTTGGCCACGCGTCTTTTCAGCCGTTTCAGATCTTTCCATAACGTTCATATTCGGAGAGTCACCCGTCAGTTTAAAGTCCAAATGTTGTCTTAATTAATTTTCTCATATTGTGCATATACATCACAAGGTATGCGATTGAGGAAGGAACCAAAGCATCATATCTTACCCATAAAACAAATTCGCTTGTCAAAATAAATAAAGCATCATAGATGAGATCAACGAATTCAGTGTACCATGTCATGCCCGAATTTTATACTGATAGTAGAAACAATATACATCAGTACCGTACAGTGAGCTCAGTTCTAATCCACGAATATAACAGGTATGCTATGCATTATTGGCGGTGAGTCATAGGGGACAAAGTCTCTAACCAGTGATTGCGATGAACGTTGTCTTATATTTTTATGGGTCACAGATTGCCGGATAATAAATTAAATGGAACACTTCCATGTAGTTATTTGGTCTGAAAAAAAGAAGTATGTAAATTCAGTTTAAAGAAGTGTAGTATATCATACGAGTATTCGGAATTACAAGCGCCCAAGTACAGTGATATTAGGTTCGAGATTTCCAAGTACTGTCTATATACGACCCATCACACATCCTCAATATCAGCAACCTGGCCACAATATTAATGTCTTCATCACTATAACGAAGCGTTTACATCAATTTTACATATACAAATACAGTTTTTTGGAATAAATAACAATATGGTGGTAATTGCCAATGGTGATAGGATATTAGCGATAAAAATTAAAAAAGACGAGAAAAAAGTAAAAAGTAGACATGAATGTAATAAGACGCAGTTCTAGAATAAATGTTCAAAATGGAAATTCTTGCAACCAGTAAAAAAAACTGAAATATTCGTCACAAGTATTGGACACACACGAGCTAAACCCTAAAACACAAATTACATCTCTAGTTTTCTCTACTAATTACCGTTTTCTATTGCGCTGTTTGTGTCCCAACCCTATTGACTATTTTAGTTTCCAGATCTCTTCATATGAAATTATTCTGATATCCACTATCTATAGGATGAATCTCTTCCTCATCCTCGTCATAGCGACTGGACGTACTTGATCCTACGCTCCTTGTTGCGTCAATTTCAAACCTTTGGCTACCACTACCAGTGGCATAGTCATATTGAGGAACTATGTTGTAGGTATTAGCAGATTGAGATAATGGAAGGGGTGACAGAGAACGTTGTGAAATAGGTGTAAAAGTACGTGGTGCAGGAGATTGCGCGGTGTATGATAATGTGGGCAACAAAGCAGGCGTTGAATGTGTTGAGGTGGGTGGCAAATTCGGCGACATGGTGGGCAATATAGAGGGGGGTAAATTGGGCGAGAAAGTCGGCGATACGGAATAAGGTGACCTACGGGTTAGAGTATCAGATGTCCGACCAACTGACTCGTCCCTCAATGTGTTAGTAGAACTGTTAAACGAATTAGGTGATCCTAATGATCTGCCCGATAATCCAGTTGATAACATTCCCGTAGACGTGTTGGTGAAAAGCCCGGCGTTTGTATTATCTCGACTTTCGCTTGCAAAATTATTTCCGCTCCTATTATCATTCCTATCTTCACCCCGCCTTGTGTCAGTATCATAATCTTCAGATGCAGGGAATCCAACGTGAACAATACTCGCTCTATGAGGATTATCCGGGTTGACAACAAATAGTGTACGGTCGACCCCAGCTACTCGACTATCTATCAACGATCCATTATCGAAGCGGGATGCACTGTATGGACCAGAGCTCATTTCATCTTGCTTTTTCTTAAAACCAAATATTTTCTTGGCAAACCGAGAAAGAAACGAACTAGACTGACTGGGTTGAGTTACTCCGGGGGGAGGAGCAATAATATTTTCAGAAACGCCATTTTGCCTCCCAAACGTACTATATTCGCCTGCAAGTGGCTGACGTGGTGGTTGATAAGTCGTGCTCTCTTCCGCCGTACTAGAGACTGGACCGGGATGCATCATTATTACTGAATCAACAGATCCGAGTCGTCCATGCACGGGAGGGACATTAGTAGCGACTCCGGATGCTGACGTTTGCATGTTAGGATTCCACGGCTGAATATTGGTCATTTGTCCTAACGGAGTTCGTCTCGGTAAGCTCATAGACGCGACTATGTCCGAATTGTTAGATGGGAAGGAATATGAGCTCATACTATTATTGCGTTCGTCGATCGCATCGCTAAAGTATACTGGTGCAGCTCCCGATGTCGGTTGTTCTCTACCATTACTTTGTGATTGTTGCCTTTTTATCCATTCTAATTTGGATGGACGGTAATAACTTTCATCTGTAACATCAGCAGAAGATAGTCTTTGTGACCCGTGATATGTAGACCCATTTTCATCAGATACGGTGTGGTCTCCTTCGAATGCGCTCCCACTCACTGACCCGTCATGGACATGCTCATACGTATGGTGGGGTCCGTAGCGAATAGGAGTAGCATTACTTCCTCTACGTTCCTCGTCACTGTTACCCGCACTGCTTTTGTGCTTATCACTAGGCGCAGAATATCTACTGGTGCTGTCTTTGTGTGACACCACGCCCGCGTCTTGCTTTTCAAGTAATCCGCACCAACGGAGTAATATTTCAAGTAGGTGTTTCAAAGCGAGAAATGTGAATGTACAATATGCCAGCCCATGAAAAGTTATAATGGCATACCCGACTATCTCTTTAGTATCCTTGGCGATATTAATATTCGGAATAAGCAAAAGAAGCAGCCCGGATATCAACGTCCTGAACAGCCCTAAGACTACATACATCGTGTTCAACCCTCCTCGTTTATAAGGCTGTTTGACAACTATAGCGATCAAATACAATATTTCTATTATAAGTAACAAAGTTGCCTGTGCTGCACCACTGTCTTGTCCACTTCCAGTGACCATCGCTCTGAGAAACAGGTATATCCATACAAATATTAAAAAATATGTATAATCCTTTTTGAATGTGTTATATAAAGTGCCATAACGTAGTAGCATATGGGAATCTGTGGAGAGTTGTTCGCTACGTAACAGATATATTGACAATACAACGGGCAGTGTTAGGCATGGAACGAGTACGACTATCACAGCTAGAACTGTGACCCACGCAGGGTTGAGTTTACGTATCGTCAGCTGGTAGAAGGCTGCTGTGAGGAGCGGAAAGTAGAAGAGAAAGAAGACGCGCAATAGACTTCCTATTATATAGTAAGACAATAACGGTTAGTCTTGATTGCATAAGCACGTCATTATAATCACTATGCAAGTGTTACCTTGTAAAAGAGAAAACCCTTTAGCCGTGGATCCTCTAAACTTCTCGGAGAATATTGTCTTCAGGGTCTCCCAAGATCCCCATATCAGCCCACACAACACGGCCACGATTGCGAATATTATTAAAAAAATAACTAAAGTTTCAGGAAACAAGTTTACCGGACGTAGACCCGTAAATAATACATAATTGCCAAGACCTCCCAACAAATCAAGACTTTCTTGCAGTGTTAATGTTAATGAATTTGAACTGAATATCCCGACCCTCTTTGTAAGCTCCAAGGCTCTCGATTTAATGATGTTGATGTTGTTGAATGCAGGAATTTCATGCTGAACCGATACTATTTCAGTGTGATTGAATATCAAACTACCCCACCCAAAATGACTCATAAACGGCTGATAATATCCAGGATAATCCAACGAGAGCTGAGCAGTTGCGATTGCAAATTGAGTGTAGAACATTATATCAAAAAACCCTGGAGTCTTAAACTTTAAGGATTGTCCCTGATTGCTTGTAATTTGGAATATGTCAGTTGTGAATTGACCAGGGCTGAATACACATGCAATTGAGCTGGCAACCCAGGTGAATAGCGTCATCGAAGCAGGGAGCCATGTGAAAACTTGAGAATAGTAATTGTATTGAGGAGTAAAGTCAAAGTCGAGGCACGTAATTTGAGTTGCATTTTCATCGGATGCTCTGTAAGTTACAGTTAGGGTTGTAAGTGGGACTGAGCGGGGTAAGTTCACGATCTGGAAAAAGAGAATAGTAAAGGGAAATGATTAATGCAGAGGCAGAAAACATTGAATTTACATGATAAAATCGATAGATCATATTCAGCGAATAGTATTATGTTGCGAATTCGCCAGCTGTTATCGATACATCCAACCGTTATATATGACACTTGTATAATTACCTTTTGTATTGTTACAGGTCCCGGATAAGATGGACAAGCAGTTTGTTGACAATAGTTTTCCGTGTCATCGACTAGCTTGTCCTCGACTACATTAACAGTAGTAAATGCGGTCGCTATTGCGGGTCACATTGATACGAAATCCATATGAGTATCTTCATATAATTCTTAATTATCTCTCTTTTGCTTGCTATTCTTACTTACCCAGAAAATTCTGGCCACTTCCGTATACTGTCGTATTCGAATCGCCTTCTATGATAAAGGCAAGTTCATTTTTCTTTTCATCGAACAGAACGTCCACACTGTTGACATTTAGAGAGCTCTGCTGGTTTGCACAGCTTCTAAAGGAAACTTGAGTTGCGCTCACACATTGAGTTAGAGCTATTATTGCTAAGAGTAAATGCGGTCGCATATGCATAATCTATAATTATTATTGTCCAAATTATATATACAGGGTCTTGTGTTCTCTTCTAGAGGATCGCAGTCTGGTACTCTGTACACTTCTATTAACTTATGGCACTTATTTGATCACTTTCCCCAGAGCTCTTAAAGCGTTGGTATATGTGCGTGCACATAAGAGGAATACGGCGAGCTGTTAATTTGTAGGCGTTACGTGAGAAGTTTTTGATGGAGATACTTGTACGAGTGTGATTTTAAATGAAGGTCGCACTATAAAGCACTCTCTAGTCACGTTGTAGTCATTGATATAATAGCAGTAACTAACCTATAGAAGTTAGTAAATAGAAGTGTTGACGAAACACTAAACAAAGAACAGTATGGCTAAACAAGGGTAAAAGGGATATATATCCTTGAGACAATTAGTTGCGGAACTCCTGCTGAACGACGTAAACAATGCATCGAAGAGTACGTCAACTGTGATAATGTCAAATTTTTCATAATATTATTTATAGTATTCATTGACACAAGTATCGTCTTATAATAGCATTCTGATCTATTGTTCGCCTACCCATTTGGTAATGATTGCCAAGGAACTCTATTTTTATATTTCTGCCTTAAGCTTAATATTAACCCTGCTCAGGTCGGGAATGAACGCAAATCACTAATAAATTAATGTTCATTACTATTATGGTTATTTCTGATGACTAAAGAATTACCATTTTCCACCTCCCCTCCCCCTATTTTTTAACGGTGATTTTTATAAATCGGTTTGCAAATATGATGCCCGAAATATAAATTTCAAGTTAACAATGTTGAACCTCTTTTTTTTATGTACGTATACATGTAATGTCGGACTTGTACTGTTTCAAATTACGGTAAAAAGGTCAACAAAGCGAAAACCCAAGGGTTGCACCGTTTGATCATTTGATGCTATTCATTGTTCTGTAACCCTAACTGAGGTTACGCAAATATCCGTAATAGTCATGGCATAATTTATATTTTTAACACAGTAACAAAAATAATAGATTCTCCGCGGATGTTCTTCGTGAGAAATAAAATTATTGACGATTCAAACTTTGTAATGGTTAATAACTAGAACGTCCGTACTTTTCATCGATCGCCTATTCACAAGTTGTTATGCATCCTGTATTTTTGAGTTGTATATTTATAATTATTGTGTCAATTGAACTATATTTGACATAAAAAGGTCATAAGCTCTTTCTTTATTGGCTATAAAAATACTTCCATAATCTTGAATATCAGTCTATAATAATAAGGTAATAAAGCTTTTTTAAATTCTGGCTGCGAGCATTCATCGTATTTCAGACACACACGACGATTGCGAAAATTGTAATAGCATATCCCATGTAAAGAAGCATTTATATTTTATCTGGACGTCAACATCTCATTGCGTCAACATAGCATTGCGTCGACATTCTCTGTATATTATTTATTATATTGTTTGTCGAACAGACCACAAGTAATAATAGCGGAGCAAGAAAAATTGTCCTTGATTATTAACCGTATTGCCAACAGATGCAGGAGATTACAACGTTTGTGGGATATTACAAGTTTGACATTTTTATGGATATTATTCACGAATATCCTTAAGTTTCAAATTATCTTTTAGTTAATATTAACCATTACTATTACCCTTGGTTAAAACGTATTAGCGGCATGATCAGCATGCTGAACAGGCCCCCTTATATCACGTAAAAACGTACTAGCATGGTTTCGATTAGTGCAGATTGACCTACTACTACAAATTTAGATCATAATGTATAGTCGGTATCGTTTACCTGATTCGTAAAACAGACTTCATTAGGTAGTGCTTTTGGTACGAAAGCATTACAATATCAATTACGACATAATGAAACGTTGTTAACTACTCTTTTTGCATTTTGGGAACACATGACAACTTGATATCTAATAACTCTATTACAAAACAGGAATAATCGCTCTTATAAAACTTGCGCGCGCAAAATCAAATTTGGTTATCAATGCTAATAATGGTTTCTGATACGTTAAGGCATAATAATCGATATTTTCTAAATGCTCTCACCTGTAATTGGGTTACTATCTGCAAACTTTATGAACTCGGCGCATGCACGTTTTAAGTAACAAAATGAACATTAACTAACACAAATCATATTCTATCGTTCAAATGAAACTTGCAATTTTGGAATTTTGACAAAATCAAAGAAAATATAAATATGATTTTATTCTTCAAATATCACAGGCGTGATTATGATGCAGTTTTCATAATAACAATTGTGTTGATGTTGAATATGAAACAAATAAAGTTATTTGTTCATCAGACAACATCACTTTATAACAATTTTAGGTTATTAATTTGTGAATATTAAATTTGACAACTTGTTATCAAATTGCTGCCAGAAAATTTGAGCATCACTAGTAATAATAGTAATTAAAGAACCTTTTTTGTAAATTACGAATAGTAATAGTTTTAATTGCACAATTAAATCTTGTGATCATTCTTCAATGGATCAGCATCTTTGTCCTTTTATTCATAATACTTCTGTCAGCTTATCACATTATTCACACTAGAAAGAAATAGAGGCTATCAAGATCTTAGACGCTAATGTCTCTTTCCTCATTTTGAGATTTTTGTTTTTGTGCTTTGAGAAAGCTTTCTTGCAATAGTTTTCTCTCTTTCAGTTCCTTTCTGATAAGCTCATCTGCGGATAAATAACAAAATCTACTTTAATGCTTGATAAACTGTATCCGTTCAATAAAGAAAATAGATCAACATACCAAATCCTTTAGCTTCATCTGGCACTCCCAGCTGGCTCATCATCCGTTGCTCTAGCACAACCATAGCCAGTTGTTCTTGTAGTTCCTGATATCTATCTAATCTCTTTTGATGTTGTCTGATCCTTTTATTCATCATCATTGAGACCCATGCTGGCTGTTCCCATCCACGTACCCGCCATAGACGATAGCCTAATGACGTAATTACATCGTACCTTACAACGGGTCTACGCGGACGTTTTTTCTTTCGTTTGATTCTTTGTGGTAATACAGGTTCCGGTGGAGGGGTATAAACACGTGGATCAATAGGTATTCTATAAACTGGATGGGAATCTTTTTTGCGTGAAGACAAGACGCGAATGTCATACACAAACGGGTGATGTTTTGGCTGCAATCAAAAATATAATAATATGAGCAAAATACAAGATACAATCGAGCGTCAATAAAGGGACAATAGAAACCTCCTTACTTCTTTCCACTTATGGAGCTGTCATGAGAGTTGGCAATTGTATTTGTTGTCAGCTACTTGGATTCTCTGAATGGCGACCATGTGGAGTGCTTGAAAAGTTCTGACACTGGTCAGCGAAAATCATCCTGATCCAAAAACAAAAAATTGGATTTGATACACATAATCTCAAAGAACAATTCTCGACAACGAGTAAACGGATTTCAGTTTTTTTATTCATTGAGACTGTATCAAATCCAATTTTGGATCAGGATGATCTTCGCTGAGATAGAGTCCCATTGTCAGAACTTTTTCAAGCATACCACGCTAAACCTGAAGCGTAAGCTAATTTACCACGTCCAGAACTTCTTTCAATCTCCCTTTCCTTCCCCACGAGAGATCATCAATGTGCTGTATAGATTCCTGATCGCCATTAAGAGCTTTCTCTAAAAGTGACTTGCACTGACAATGATAATAAACAGGCCAGAGTGTGAGTCTTTCTTGTTTCTCTCCCTTTAGCATACCAAATTTTACAAAACCAACCTCTTCTGCCTCCCTCAAATAGTTGGCTGTTTTTTGGAGAGAAGTTTCATGTCTCCGGGACCTAAACTTGTCTCTTAACGAAAAGAATAGAAATCTTTTGTGGATGTCTTTATCAAAACGTTTTGCTGTTTTCAAAAGTGTCCTGTAAAGTGACAACACTGGTATCCGATGCGCGTCAAGTGTCCAGAAAGGCCTTCTAGGTCTGTGTATCATCGAGTTACTTGAAAAACATTCAATCTGTGATATGTGAAATTTACCATCGATATCACATGCAGGTTTGGGCTATCCATTTCATGGATCTAGCTATTCACAATGTTGTCAACACATAGACTGGCAGTCACCAAATCCACCTTGCAGCAAACAATAAACCAAAGTAAAACAGGTGTAGAAATTGCTTGGTTGCATGCTAAAGAAAGTAGTTCGCGACTAGTTTTACGTTGCTGGTTCTCCTCGGAGAATAAAAGCTCCATAGAAAAAAATGGGGATAAGACTCGATCGGAAGGAAACGCATTAGCAACTCAAGAAAACATACTTCGCAATAAGCTGTCTGCTACACTCTCAAACATACAAGCAATACGTGAGAAGCAGTTACTCAATATACAAAAAGGACAAGAAACAATAAAAAAAGCTTTAAACGAAGGCTCGGGATATGACGATATTGAACGCATAAAAGAGAAAGTAATTCAGCAAGGTTTTCTTTCACATTTATTATTTGGAAAAGTCTTTTTATTCAATCTGTCGGGGTGGGGGTGAACGCAATTCTTGCCTTTCAACATAATCATCGTTCACCTATATTATAGAACATAAACTTCGAGAGGCACGCCAACAACTGTCAATCTCAAGAAATGCATATGAACAAGCTATTGCAGCCCAATCCAAAATACAACGCGAGGTCAATGACCTTCTTCAACGCAAAAACCAGTGGACCAATGACGATTTCTTACGTATAACCCAATTATTACGTGATGAACAAACCATTGAACAAAAAGTGATCGCGACGCGCGAGGATTGCCATCGCTACGACAAACAAGTCGAGCGTGAGTTTACCGAACTTATTCAAGTCATGATGATGAGATATCATGACGAGCATATTTGGAGTGACAAAATTCGGAATTGGTCAACATATGGCACTTTTGCTTTGATGGCGTCGAATGTAGCATTGCTTATCTGGGTTCAAACAGTGATTGAACCGAGAAAGAGGCGGATATTGGTGGATAGGATTAAAGTAGAGACCGATTTATTAAAGGAGGAATTAGCAAAAGCTGTGACGTTATTAATGAAAGAGGATGAAATCAAGGGACTGAGTATTAATGATGAGGACGTTGAAGGAGAAGATCAGTTTATCGTTCAGCCGGAAACGAAGATATCAAACTCCGCCGTATATGATGTGACATTTTGGAAAGGAGTTGTAATGGGCGGGGCTGTGGTTGGCAGTGCCGTTTTGGGTGTTTTTGTCGCTGTCCTAGCAGCAAATTTTAAAAAATGACAAACCTTTGGTTGACGCAAGAGCAAATAGATATGTAATTTATCCAGTAGCTGTAATATAAAACATCTTCAACAGTTGATAGTGAAACATAATGAGGCGAGTTTGAAAAGTAAATTAAAACCGACAAGTAAATTTTTGACTTTAGCTTTAACAACGTTTGCGATTAAATAATATGCGAGCATCTGAACTGTTAACGTAAACGAGAATTTATTTGCCTCGATAACACGAATTGCACTTCCACATAATAATAGACTTCAACGGGCATTTGTTTACCAGATATTACGCCAGGTCCATGTCGAAACATTGTTTGGGATCTAAGTTCGATTACTTTCTGATAAATAATTACTGTTAATACCAAAAAAAGCATGCTGAACGGTTATTAATCTGTAATGATATTAATATTCATACTAAACAATCAATAGTGAATTAAATTCAATCTTTATGAACTCGTTCGCTGGGACTCTTGGAAGGAATCTCTTAAAGAGATATTTTGAAATTATACTGTATTCTTCATCGCTCATAAAAAGTGAAACAAGGCGGCGGAAGGTTATTTTGTTTGCAATCGTTGTAATAATTTTAGATTACTCATGTTTGAAGATAAAAATTTATTTGGCGTACGATGGCGTCGGAAGTCAAATATGTAGTATTTATTATAATTTTTCGTCGTTAGGTTTAGCTAAATGCTGTATACGCGTAAACGCGATGAGCTTTCTAAAATAACGAGAATTAATATTTTGATCACAAATTTCGCAAACTTGGTTTATTCGTTTGCAAACACGTAGACATGGCAAAAATGTACAGTGAGTAGTGAAAATAATTGCTTTCAGAAAAAAAATAACGTAGCAATCACATGGGATAATTAAACAATTCCAAATACATTTTTGTTCATAATATTTTCGGTATGAAAACTCTATCACCATTTGATAGCACCAAATTTTTCAAATCTTCGATACTTTGGGGCATACGTTTAACCTACTACTAATGCTTTTTCGACATTGCTTTTTATCATTTGCCACATGCCGCCAAATAGTAGCGTGTGAAATTGAAATCGTTTGACTCTTGTACTTCTAATGTAAGTTGACGTGTTGAAACAGCTGTTCCATCGCATGGGTATACGCCTTTGTTTTTCGAGATCTTTGCAATGATCATTGATTTTCCATGAACGGTTCTCTACAATATTTTCACAGCTGGAAAAACATTTACTTATTACAGAAAAGGCAATGAATATAGAACAAACTAATGTTTTTGCCATGTGGTGCATGTAGATCTCTCTGGAAATCGCAAACTCCAGGTTGATGGCCAGCTTTTTATCTATTAGCCTGCTGAAATATGGATCGTGAATCTATAGTATGCCAAGAACTTTAGCGTAGTTCGCCTTCGAACCAGGCAAAGCGTCGAGCTGTTATTCCATACGGTGGGATGTGTTATTGTCATTTACTACAAAGTTATGGGTCGTATGGATAATCAATCGATAGTATATGTCGTCAATGGCCGTATTGTCAACAGAGTCTTTAGCAATGACTTGTTTAAACTCTTTCGAGATGTTGACTATATGTAGTTCGGTGTATTCCGGCTTCTGTTTAGTAATATTATTCGGCATTACTGGTTGCGCTTATTTTTATACATATTTAATATTACAATTTTGCTACTGTTTGTTAGATTTAGGCGTGCGAAGTCCATTGAAGTATTAGGTCAGTGAAAAAAAAGAAACAACGGAAAATAGAACATATTGGACTTGCGAGTTCGATAACGACTATTTATTACAGGGGTTAAGATACTCCACCTTTAAAGGTGATAGTAATAGAGCAACATGCCACGACATGTGACTTGTCGAAACAAGAATTTCATATTAACATATTAATATAAATTTTGCGATCGGCATATTAATATCTCACCATAAACTTTTCTGAATTGAATAGACAAAAGCTGAGATTCTATTCTTCATTTTTAAGAATTATTCGCCATGACGAATACAACGAATTCCTCCAACACAACTTCTACCACCTCTTCTTCTTCCTTCAACTTTGTTGCTCGCCCAACTTCATCCTCTAACTCATATCCTGTTTCTCACTTTCGCAAGCTCCACACCGAGTTCACTCACCAAGTACATAAACTTACATATGACATCGACTCTTGGAGTTCACATTCGGCCCAATATCATCCACGACATATTATGGTTAATAAACCACTTGAACAAGGTTCGCGGTGGTCTAGTAATAGTAACAATCAGATGCAATTTATCACATTAAAGCTGGACAAGATGGCCATTGTTCGTATCCTTTTGTGTGTCATGTGTCAATGTCAATTACCAGACGAGCGTAATAACTTATTTATTCGAGATAATATGAGCATTGATCAATATGTTAATGACACGTTGACTTTAACTCTTTGTTGCAATAATCCTTTGGCATATTAAGACAACATTACCTTCGGAAAATACCACAAAGGTGAGCTGCTGGGAATGTGCTCTGAATATACACCTGCGCTTTTTTGACCGAATTCGCTATTTATATCTATCAGTCCACGTGTGTAATCTGAAAGAATTTAAAGTATTTGGAGGAATAACGCCTAATAATATGATCGAATTGCTTCATTCCGGTAATGATTTATCAAATATTGTCTAGCGTTGATCTTTTCATGCGGATTTTGTTCAACCTTTTTGATCTTTGTCTTTAGGCCTCCGCAATGATCACGAGCCGGAAACGTTTCCTTTGAAACATCGAGCTAATTATGTGGTAAAGAAATTGCTCATACATATGTAACATTGTATTGTCGAGTTCATTACTCGTCCTCTATAACCATAATCTATCTGCAGTATCTCCCATTCCAATACATTAAAATAGTGCCCATGGCAGCATGGGGGGCTAATTTTAATTTTAGTATATGGTACATTGAAATACGAGGCGTCGATGATCAAGATTTTGTGCAGGATGCATATGATGACTATATCACAGTAAGTGCCTTCAAAATTGTCCCTATTCGTAGTTTGCGCTTCAATTAATGTATTCTGTTACATCACTCGAAAGTATCGAGAAAAGGAAACAATCAGACTATGTCTCAAACACCTGAGACAACGCAACTACATTGACACCTTCAACTCGTTACAAGCCCGGACGAATATACTCTTGGAAGACCCTCTGTTGACCGATCTCCATTCGCATATTGTGATAGAAGCTAATTTTGATAAAGCGGAAGAAATTATGGAAATGGCAGCTGGAAAGGATTTTTTTAATGAATATATACGCAGATGCTCATATAAGCCAGCTTGGAGAAAGATAGAAGCCAGTAACGCTGGTATGTATGATTTATGGCAGATAGTCTATGAGATATGAAGAAATGATGCTGGGAAAAAATAAGAGCATTGTATTATTATTTTACTATTTTTGACTTACGCTTAAATTCTGCATTAGATGGTGATTCGCCATGCATGAGAGGTGGTCATCAGATGTGTATCGACGTTGAGGTGAATATTCAAATAGATTTCAATCGACATTATGGCTAACTTTTTTTGGAATTGCAGTTTAACTTGACGCGTTGATCTTTGTATTTTATCGAAGGCTGGTCATGTCTATCTTCTTGCTGGATGGGATGGTACCAAAGATCTGGCTGATTTCTGGGTCTATGACATCAATGCAAACAGCTGGATTTTAATATCCGAAGATACACAGAAGTATGAATTTTGCTTTAATAATGTAACTACTCATATTACACTAATTTTGACTAATGCGCTATTATCAGGCAAGGAGGGCCAGGCCCTCGTTCTTGTCATAAGATATGTTTTGACCCTGTCATGAAACAGATATACGTGTTTGGGAGATACATTGAACCAGAGGCAAGGTCGGAAGCAAATCTTGATTCTGACTTTTATCGATATGATGTATTGAATGATCAATGGACAGCTATCTCGTTAAATACAGAGGTAAGTTGGAAGTTTCTCTACGATGACAATGGCATAAGTTTTGAAATTCGGTGTAATTCGGTGGCGGAATTATGCCATGATGGCAAAAAGAGTCTTGGTGGGCCGCTCCGGTAACTAATGGAAACAACAAACATAAGGCGGCATACATGATGTCTTTATACCTACCATCCCCTGTTAAGAGAGACTGTATCCCATTTAGACATATCATTTAGTTCTTTGTTCGAATTATCTGAAGAACATTATGCCATAGACAGCATGCCTTAAACATGTCATTTTACATATCATTTGTTATAAGAAAGAGACAGCTGATTTCCTGCAACCTTTAGTTACAAGGTGGACCCGAATTAATATACGATCATCAAATGTGTATAGATCCTGAGACACAGATATTGTACGTATTTGGTGGTCGTACCATGCGCGTAGATCCCAAGGATTTCAGTCATAGTGGCTTGTACTCGTACGAAATTGCGACAAATACATGGACACTACTCAGGTGAGAAGTCGTTCTGAACTTAAATACTTCACTTTGTGAATAGGTGATTTCGGTAAATAGTATCCACGTCACTTTGATCAGTGTTCAGGGTAACAGTTGAAGTAGCATTGGAATAGTAGTTGATGGATGCTCGTTCTGTATTTGTCAATGAAGACCTGATATTAGATCTGATCTCACTAAATCGCAGCAAGGAGGACAATTGAAATCTCGCATTGGCCACTCGATGCTATTTGATCCAAAAGAGAAGTTGCTATACATCTTTGCTGGCCAACGCGAAAAAGAATACCTGAGGTAATTACGCGTCTTATATAATTGTTAATTATTTCATCTTTACCTCGACTTATCGACTAACGGCTCCCTCCCTCACTCCTTTTCCATAAGCGATTTCTACGTATACGACATAAAAAATAATACCGTTCATGAGATATCTAGGGACTACTCAAAACAAGGAGGCCCTGAAGCAGGTTTCACTCAGCGCTCCACGTTCGATACCGAGCAACAAGAATTCTACGTTTTATCCGGTCTCATGCGAGATAATAAGAGAAATTCAACGTCGAAAAGCTCCTTTTGGGTATACTCTCTTGAAACTGGCCAGTGGGTGAAAATATATCAGAATGAACAGACAGAAAATAAGCACTGGATACAACAGACGCCATCTGAACCTTGCCCGAGGTTCGCTCACCAGCTAGTATACGACCACATTAACAAAGTACAATATTTATTTGGAGGGAATCCCGGAGAACAAGGGAATTCCAAACAAAGACTTGACGATTTTTGGGATTTGAGGTTAATAAGACCGACGACTGAAGAGATTTTGAGGAAGATTAGGTTTCATATAAGGAAACAGAAGTGAGTATATATGGGTGTGTAATCAGGCGATGTTTTAAGCGACTTCTAATAAATACTTTTGTTATAATGATATCAGGTTTCGTGAGATGTGTTTGGATCCGTCATACTCGGTTGATGCACTTAAGTTTCTCCAAACACAGTTAGCCGAAGTAGTTGACCATTCAAATGAAACCGAGAGTGCAGAGTTTCGTAGTTTAACAACTGATCTTGTATACCGAAATCGAGGTGACTATGTTTCTGGTGTTCAACTATTGGTTATTCGTTAACTAAACATACTCGAGTAATTCATCTGAACTCTTTACAAATCTATACAGGCAAGCGACCTGATACTTTTCAATCGCGTACTGAATTGTACGAGACGCTTTTAGAATATTTTCCAGAGATAATGAAGCAACCGAAAGGAAACTTGATTGATTTAGTCAAGATCCAATGATGTAAAATATAATGAACTAGTTATAGATGCGGGATGTAGTTACTCAACGAAAATTGGATCAGTGTAAATAACGAGGGTCTTGCCTGAAATTTGCATATATGTAGACATATTTATTTCATATTTATTTTCGTAGTGTTAGAGGCGAGAATAAACAGAACAAATAAAATCGGACCGATTCAGAAGATATTTATTTAATATTGGCAAAGTAAAGAGATGATTAAGTCCAACATGGCGGTCAGGTCAATGACAACACGTAAACGATCAACACCTGAATGAAAAGCTATACAATAGGAAACGAAATATAGCATCCACCTTTGCAAGAGTTAAACAGTGTTCATTAAATAACAGCAGAACAAAGGCTATCAAGATCGCACAATGAGCTGTGTTTTCCATCGCGCATTCAGCTCCACAAGTGAGACAAATACAATATAATGATGCAGATATTGATATGGCTGCAAAAGAAGTAGGATACTCAAAAGATAGTAGTGTAGACCGCAACTACATGATGACACTTGGATATCAAGGGTGATTTCCTTGATTTTTGCGAGCTCCATCATATAAAATATAAAAGTCTGCATACTCACACTGTTATGATGCCAGAGCATAAGCTTTTATTCGACAATGCGAGAGATTGCATATCTACGAGTGCAAGGCAATAGCGAAATCCTGAGTAATTTGTAATATCTGACCGTCATCTCTTCCATGCCTCTAAGCTTTATTGCAAATAAATAACTGTCCATTGTGAGCTTATACATCAATTACACTCTAATAAGTAACTCGGTGGTTCTCACGCCTTGGCAGCGCGCATTGTCTTTTTTGTTGTTATGATAGGGTATGCACAATGATGTTTTTCATTTGTCTACCTTCAGTTATACGTAATTGCTTCCATCTCCTACATTCTCTTTCCTCAACGATACCTCTGATGCAATTCTCTCTATTAGTTCATCATTGTTGAGATTCTTCCCGATGTTTCTTTTGACACACCATACGCCAAGCCGTTCTAATGCTAGACAATGACCAGGGCGCGTTACATTTACTGACGGAATATAATCTAAAAGCTTTGTAGAAGCGCTATTAACGGCTGGTATAACCTCAGAAGGACCATAGTCTGCTTGCCAAACATAATGGATTCACAAGCCACCCACATGATCTACCAAAAATCTCATCTTCCAGATAACTTCTCTTCGCGAGTCCATTCTCGCCTGCCTCAAACATCTACTTGCGTGCATTAACTCGTTTTTAAATAAAATGTCGCAGTAGCCCTCATTTACCTATTGATAAAGAAATACAACATAATTATGCGTCTGCCAAATCTAACCCTGACGGCAGCCCAGAAATCAAGAGTAACGTTCACATTATTTAGTACTGTTGCATTATTTGCCATATTCACGGTCTCTGCGCACGGGCTGCTGCCCTGTCCTGCACATGAAGATTCGGGGAGGACTGCACTTTCAGGAAAAAAACGGGTCGAGATTGATGGAAAGAAAAAGGTTATCGTCGTAACCAGAGAGAGGAGAAAGAACATGAAGACTGAGAAATGAAGATTCCGGGTTGAATTGGCAAAATCAAAAAGCGTTACGAATGATAATGGAGAATTTGATAGAATTCCCAACGTAAGATTACATCGGATTTTTACTATACAACGAGAAAATGAAGTAATTACGTTTTCGCTCAAACCTCTAACATTTCTTTAATACTTTACGCATTATAAATGACAGCATTCATAGTAATCATCGGTATCCACTCTTGTGTCAGATATGAGACTAATAAATATACAGTTATTTCTACCATTTATTATTCTTGCTTTGATTTCATTAACAATTCCGCCATATGCCTATTCCACCATTGCATTGTCTATTCTATCATTTCCAATCTGTCTATTATCTGTTCCTTTCCCTAGAAGTCTTGCTATTCCGAATGAATGATAACGTTGACTTTTATGATTACATTTTTTCATTGCTAGCGGGCGTCTGTTCGGAAATGTTTGCACTCTCCCATTTTTAGATACATTATATGTATATTTTTTATATTCATCTGCGAATATATTCATCAATGTATTTGTATTGGGAATTATTCAATTTGTGTCCAATGGATATTTGCTCGTTGGTCGCTGCTGCTGTGCGAATGTTTCCGTTTGAAAAAAAAAAAAAAAAAAGAGGAAATTTCAGCGAACGTAGCATATTACGGATATTTCAGGTGATGAGCATCTTCTGACAATCGACTCTTAATTTATTGTTGCCATTGTTATTAACACACTAAACATAGGGATAATTCTCTGTGAATTAAAAATTTTGAATTTTACGAACGAATTATCAAAAAAATGGGTTTGTTCGATCTGTCTTTTTGCATAGTCAAAACATGTTAATTCTAATCGCTAGCGGCGTTTTGATTTCTCAAACATGTCGCCTAAATTGAAAAACTCCGAATTTATTAAGAATACCAATAGTGATAACATAATGCGTATTGCCGTTACGCGCTTTACGTGATTGATATTTTAATTATAACTCGCGTCAGCAACAACAGAAACTTATAAATACAGGCTGTCACAATTCAAAATCAGTTATCAAAAAAAAACAAATAAAAATATACAAAATACAATGAACTACGACAGCACACGTCAAAAAGACTGCACCAAAACAGGACGCTACGATGAATTTGCAACCAAAAACAATGTAATCAAACCTGTGCAAATTATTCCACATAACAAGCGAGACGAGAACCCTAAAACACCAGATAGCACTTTATTTCTTGACATGACGTCCGAAGAGGAGGATGACTATTCATGTTTATGCCCCCGGCAGACTACATTATCTGGCGATGATTGTTCAAAAAACAGAGCAGCAACTCAATCGATCAGAAATATGGATGCTTATTGGGCAAGATTTCGATTACCACGTAACGAATGGTTACAGAAAGAATGGAATAGAGGAGGCAGCGACCGAACAATTGCTTCAAACGCAAATAACTTGATAAACAAAAGTGGTGGAATTATCGATAACGCGTCTCACGCCAATGCAAATATTTTCGACAATAGTACTGTCAACTACGATAACACCATTGTAGACAATGTTCATGATTATGATGATAGTTCGTCTGTTGACTCGTCGACGAATGAGCTTGGAATGTCATGCCCGCCATCACTGTATCCGACTTCAACAACGCTAGAAAATAAAATAAGTCAGAAAAGAAAGGACTTTATACAAAAATATTCTTTTTCGCTTGCAACAGATAAAAAACAAAAGACCTGTGAAGAAAGCACTGAGAGCGAAGTATGTAAAAAAAATTTTGAGGAATTAAAGATATATTAGTATAGAAATTTACGTTGAATACTAAGATAATAAACATTAAACAGTCTTCACAGGTACTTTCGGTTGACAATCGTTTGCTACCTGTTGATTCGGAAGAAGTGCGACGCATAGAAAAAATTAGGCTCTGTACGTGACAAATTTAATTTAAATTAACGATGTCAATAATATATTTATATATATTTATTTCAAAGATATTACAAGATATCATATGCAAGAAATTCATGAAGCAAAAGAACAGTCACAGAGAGAATGTAGCAAAGTATTGTATAGTGTTTTTACGCATATATTTCAATAAGCCACTTTATGACAACTACCATTATGTTTAACTACAGCATAATTCTACTATAAATCGATACAACGTTACGTTTAATATCAACGCTAAGACACTTTTATCCTTTGACGGTACCTGTTTGTGTATTCTCTTTTATATAAACAACGAATGTTTAATTAACAAAAAATTCACTATTTGCGTCAGCTCCGCTATTGTCGGCTCTTCTAACACCTGAAACATTCTTTGACATAACCGAGGATTTTACGACAGCATCGCTAATAATTCTTCAATCTATCATTGAGAACGACAGTATACTCCTCGCTGAGCAGGTAAGGTGTAGGATCAGGTTGAACTCCGTTAGCGAAAGGTACGTTGTTAATATTGCTTGCGAGCCACGGAAGCAACATTTTGGATACATTTGACCAATTTTTATTATGGCCATTTCAGCTATAGGTTAAACACGATCGCAGAGATATATGACGTTACCAGATATTGTGAAAACGGGTCTCTATGTATATTACGTGGAGTTATAGATTGCATGTGGCTTCCATCATTTGAAATGTTTGTAGATTGCTGTCGTATTCTCAAATATTAGTACTATTTACTTAACTAATGATATATGTATTTATTTTTATTTTTATTATTTTTTTTCTAGATATAGTCAAACATTTCATTGCGAGAATTCACACTGTCGAAATCAGAATTATCTCCACGTAATTCCCACTGCTCGCACAAATCGAGTAATTAAGCGGACCGAGGGAAAAGTGTTTTTAAAAACAAGCACAAGGTTTTTGTGGTTTTTTTACAAGTCTTATTACGACATACAACGAAATTACTTTATTAATTATGTACTTGCAAACGTCTAAGCGCAAGGTTAAACGATATTGATTTAGAATGTTCGCATTGCGGTGTTCGGATGAAAGAACTAGTTGTAGACAGAGTCTATACCAGTTAAGTCCTTCTTTTACTATCAATTTATTCACAAATTTAGCTTTATTCTTGTAATTATTGACACGATTATGTGAAACCTATCTATCCAGCTTACCAACGCATTCGTATTTCATCCCAAAGTCCCACGCTTTCTCCGCCTGGATCGTTCGGCGGCAGTATTATTGCGGTTCTCACAGGTATTGTTACGTTCGCGTAAAACATTACAAGTGACTGCGTCCTTAGTCTCGTACATTGAATGACGTGTATTCCTTCATATCTCATTTCTGTAGATGATTTTGCTAATGCAGTAAAAATAGGACAGTTTGTAGAAATTATTGGATTTGCAAAGAGACATTTTCATGGACTTGATGGTATGTCACATATGCTGATGTTACAAGGAAAAATGTACTCACTACATCTCTTACACATTGTAAATGTAAAAGCTAACGTATACCGAGTCAACAATACAATTGACACGGGTGTGCATGTCGAAGTAAGTGCATACAAGCTTTCTTGTTGTTTGTCATATGAATATTAAAATTTAATCGATATTAAATATAAAGGTTATTAATATCAAAAACATAGCGGTAAGTGAACGTGATTTGAATAGTAAATCAAATAGTAATGCTAATAACTGTCATCGATGCATCAGTCACTCAATAACCATGACAGGTTAATGCAAACGTCTGAATACTTCACTCTTTTGCAATCGGGTAACTAGAGCGTTGTGTATAATTTAAATGTTGAAAATAGCAAGTTTTAACTGTACTTACTTCAGCAAATTTGTCGGCTTGGTCATTTACTCAACGTGTTGTTGATGTGTTCTGTGGTGAGTAATTGTTGGCTTAGTAAACAAAAATTTATTAATTAATTGACACACTTTTAGAAGATGTTGCCCCTACAAAAGCATATAGGAAAATCAAACTGTGCCTGTTATTAAGGTAATTAATAATAATATAATCGGTTTTCGGCATGATTATATATACTAACGCATTATTGTATTTAACAAGTCTCATATCAATATCCGAGAAGCCTGTCAAGCATATTAATAGTTTTAATAAGCTGCATTTACTTATTATTTGCGATAAATACAATAATACTGTCAGAAGATTATTGCGACATGTATCCAACTTTACTAGGTAATTTTGTTTCTTTTTTTTTTTTTTCGTCTGAATTTCAATAATTTGATACTAATATATCATTGCAAGACACGAGGAATGGACTTATGGAATTGGTAATAAAAGACAACCACTCTTTTCAGTAGAGTACGGAGAAAAAAAACCTCGGTCGGAGGCAGCACTCGAATGTGAATATAAAAAACGCATGCTTTACTGTATATTAATATTGCAAATTAATATTACATATTGTTCATTATTACAGCTACAATTTTGTCAAGGGTTGATGATGGAATTTTACTAGTGGATATGGAAACATTGTCTAAGAAAGACGTTAATGATGTTAGACAAGGTAGCAAGGCGATGATAGGTTATATCGTTTTTACATCGAAGATCTTGTTTCCGTAATGCGATTAGCTTTCAACGATTTATATTAATTGGTAGTCATGACACCTACTTCACAACCGACACTGGAGACACAATACCATCAGTTGTGTATGGATATTGATGCGTGTCTCTGGGCATGGTCAACTACAAGAAAAACAACAACTAAGGGAAAGAACCTACCAACTCATAAAGATGTGAATCAGTATGGCGTTGAGGTAAGAGATGGTTGACGGTCGAGAGCAAGATTATTCATATAAATGTTTACATTAATATTGATTACGATTACTGTAGATTGTATGCAGAGCTCTTGTAAAGCCGATTGTCGAGTAAGTATTAATTGACGAATTTTGTAGTCACACGAAGTGATAATAACTCTACTGTATAAAAGTACATTTGATCTTGTAATTTATATAAAGGAAACGGTCGACTCTGAAACATCTAATTCGCTCATTAATCACGTTTTCGACCAATATTCCGAAAATGGAAAACTCAATGGACGCGTGTCATTGGAAGATTTTAAGAGTGTAAATATTTCTACCCTGTTAATAATATATTAGTTTTTTATATCCAACAATGCTCACGATCTAATAGTATATTGTAGCGGCGCGTAGCATCGAAGTCACGTAAGGCAATTTTCTAATGTTTGTCAAAAGTATTTACAAGCAATATTTATTAACCGACTGCGAGATTAGATTGTCAAAGGAATGTAAAGATTTACTTCGGAAATACTACTTAACCTTTCGAAAACTAAAAGGAGGAAGTCATGGCTATTCATCGTCGACTGCCCTGCTAGAAGTTGGTATCATTAAAAACAGAAATAATGTGTCTTTTTATTCACAATTAATACTTATTTTATTAATTACTAGACTTTGCTCACTCTGGCAATATGTCATGCAAAAGTACCGTCGCTACTACAAATTTTTGTCTAATCTGTTGTTATTTTTTGCTAATCGTCCCTTTGCGTTTGTCGTAGCTTTGTCTTCGAAGTGTTGGCAGTTTGGATGACGCACTTGCAAGCGTTTTATTAGTCGAAGAATCCATTGCTACGAAATACGGTTCAAGTAGATCGCTACTTGGTTTTTCAATATTATGCGATGATCAGGAAAATTTACACAATTTGTACGGTGTTACCACGGATGAGGATGAGGTAATTTGATTTGAAGTAATACATGCTGTATCACGTTGTTCGCGTTAGTTTCTATCTGAAAATGTTTGTTGAATGACCAGGTACCCGAAACGAATGAATTTGATGATTGCGAAACAAACGACAGACGACTCCAATACTTCTATAATCTATCCAGATACGACGACGAAAAAATGTCAAAAATGTACCAACATTTGTTGCGTATATTTAACACGCTTGAAAACGATAACGCACCCACAGTTCAAACGGATACTCGGACAAATATTACAGCTAGCGTTCAAGGGTACTTTGGCGATGAAAGCTCCCTTGATGTAATGGACAGCAACACTAGTCAAAAAACGCCAGACGCACGTACCACCGGGAACGATGGAGACACCAGTACGAGCGCAAGACGTCGATGGGTAGAGATTGATATGGACAGCGAAGAATTTCAACATTTTCGCTTGTTTGGATAGTTTGTTGCGATAAGCAATTTATTGAATTAAAGCAAATGATAGGGCAATATTTCTAGGGTATCCCTACGTTATTATAATTCTTACAATGATAAAAAAAAGACCACCAATAAAACCAAATCTAGTCCGATAAACGTGTTTTGAAAACATAAATAAATGGTTGTGACTGTACAGAATATGTGAAAAGCATAATATTAAGTACGGTTAGTATTGTGAGCATCAAAAATATATGGAATAATATCGTGCCGGAAAGCGTGTCACTGGCGTATCGAATTTGTGTACAAAACTTATTGACCTTGAGTATTAGTATGGCATTGTGACATGATGGTGGCCAAACATAAGCTTGGCAATTTTTAAAAAAAAATAAAGCAACCTTTACGAGATTTAGTTTCTGAGCAATACTGAAATTAAGACACGTGAGTGATTCTAAAAGAAACAAAAGCCGCGGCTAAACAATAACCCAATAACCGCTGTTTAATCGTGGATTGAATACGACAATTTTAATCTGGGCCAACAGAATCCCAACTATATGAGTTTGACTGACTGAGTGGATTGTGTAAGGTGCTTAACCATAGACTTTTTAGGTAATTAGGTGTGCCTGAAATTTTCGTGTGAGGAGAGAATTGTAAATGGAGGGTAGACTTTAGATTTTATTGGTTATTGTAACAAAGGTAATACGGAAACTTTAATCGATTTGATGGCATTACAAAATTGTCAAATGAGATGTCAACACAAGTGCGATCTGATGAAATGAATAATTAATGCGAATAAATGAAAAGAGAGAAGGGGTTCAGAAGCATCGATTTACCAGTCAAGTAAAGTTGATATATGAAGGGTTGAGATTAAAGACAGAAAAAACCACCCGAGTTTGAGAGCAGCGGAAAATCATTGAAACGGGTTTCAAAAATACTAATACATCTGGTTACGGGAACAATCCCGTGACTGGTCAACAATAAGTACTACGTTGTGCTTGCGTATGTTGTTGCGACGTTGCGAAAACGGGAATCGTCTTTTACTGTTCTCTTGTCTGAGGGTTCATTGACGGACGAATCAGCAAACGACGAATGATCAGAAGATTCTAAACATTGTGGAGCAGTGGCGTGATCGACAAATATGGTATAACGATCATGTATTGTTATTATTGTGTGTAATTCGCAAACAGTCTATCGGATAAAGTTAACTTTTACAGGGACGGTATGCCAAAGGGATAAGAACAATCAAAAATCAGATTTCTTTATTATTATAGAAAATGTGTGTTACTGAGACCATGATGTAATAAAATTAGGAAATCAGACACACTCGTTTGCTTGTATGACATTTGGCAATCTCTCACTTAAAGTTGCACATCGAATATCGTCTTTCTTCTCTCTGCCCCCCAATAATTAATGCTATTGTTCATTAATTGCTCGTCCATATGTCTGCCCAATCTTAACCTTGCTAATTCCGGAAACAGAGTTTTATGTTTAATATTAACCATTAAAAAGGCGGCCTCGTTTATTTTCGGACGTTTGTAATAGACTTCTGCAACCAACCGCTATTTAGTTTCCACACGAGACCATACAATAATAAGAATGGCCATTCAATTTGCGCGATCAGAATAAAATAATATACTCGTCTTTCTTTGTCGTACATTAAATTAATGTTTTCTCGTCCCAATCGCTCATTACTAATTATTTCATACCATTCCATTTGTGGTCATTCAACCCGAAGATCTCAATTTAGTGATGTAAGGGGGAAAGGGAGTAGAGAAATTGTTTAAGAATGGGTGGACCTTGTTGCATAAGCGCAAAAAATCGCAAACAACAAATTTTATTTTTTTTTGTATGCATTATATGATCAAAGTGTATTTCATTGCAACACGATTGTTTAGAGTTTGAATGATTCAGATATAAGTTGAGGGGTCTTTCAAACGCTTACCTCATTACGACAAGTCCAATAGTCCAAGCGACACATATTCCTTCCTTTTGAATTATACACATACACTTGTATACTGCATATATATACACGCATTCCTTCACTACACGCCATACATTCATACACTCATACACTCATACACTCATACACTCATACACTCATACACTCATACACTCATACACTCATACACGCATACATTCATACACCCGTACATTCATTACACGCAAACATTCATACACTCACACATTCATTACATGCAAACATTCACAAACACGCAAGAATAGAGCCGTCATACTTGTAAATTTTCACGTCCATAGATTCCATATAATCCATCTACTTTGAGAGCACGATGGGAACGGCCAACACAAAGATACGATGCCGTCGGCTTCCTTTTCGCTATTGCAGGAAACGACCTGCCGCAATGACTTTATTAAGTGATGATGATGGCTTGGGGAAAAAAGAACAGGAGATGGAAGAATTCATGCACTTGATGTATGCCGTCGAAAAAACAGCATGGAAATCGTCTTTCAGCGCACCGGTGGCCAAGCGGTTGGAGATCGGAGCCAAAGTGCTAGATGCGGGGTGAGTTTTTCTTTGTTGTTGGTCAAAAAAACCAACGACTATTCAAATTTTTATTCTCTACTTCTTTTACTAAAAAAAAAACCAAACAACAAAATTTTTGATTCTTTTGAAAAAGGTGTGGGAACGGTAACTGGATACTCGAACAGGCAAACAATTACCCGGCATCAGAATTTATAGGTCTAGACAAGACATCATCGGTATTCCCAAGCCAAATACGACCTATGAATGTGTACTTTATGCGAGGCAATTTATTAACGAGATTACCATTCGACGATGATACTTTTGATTACGTACGAATGAGCAACATGTTAACGGTATTCAACAAGGAAAATTACGAAAAGGCCATCACCGAACTTGTTAGGTGAGCGATCATGAAATTTGATTTCCAACGATTCATAGCGCTCGCTAGGTGAGGTTGATAAACGTTTATGTGACTATCTTCATTATCTACAGAATATTGAAACCTGGCGGATACATTGAACTAAGCGAATTTGAGCATTCTCCTGAAGCCGGTCCATACTTTGCAATGTTTAGCGAGGAATTTAAACGTTAGTTTTGATTTATTTAATTTTTTTTAAACGATCATATAACATAATGAGCCGCTGATTCATTGTTAAATCTACCCCTCTGTTTTTGTTTCTAGTCAAAGCCCAAAGCGAAAAGCATGGAGAACAATCTTTTCAACCATCCGAATCATTACCAGATTTGCTCAGTCATACTTACGTCTTAACTTCGCTTCAGAAGGCTCATCAACGTCTTCTTATAGGTGGTCGTGGGGGTCGCTTGGGAATGGCATCGTACGAAATGATTAAAATGTGTTTTGGGGTGATCCATGAAGAACTCTTAATGTCTAAATGGGCATTGAACAAGGAAGAGTATATGGAAATTGTTGCTGCACTTTTGGAGGAATTAAATGAGAGAGAGAGTTGGGTAAATAGTTATAGGCATTGGGGGCGAAAAATAGTTGGGAGGTGCGATGGGATTGGAATGGGCGGCTGTATAATGTGAGGGCTTTGGATATGGATTGGGAATATTGTATCATGTATGTACATATGTATTTTATATTGCTTCATGTGAAGCATATCCGTTTGCCCATATAGTGTCACTGGTTGCACTAACGGATTCACGTGTATTACTAGCGGGGAAATAAAATAAAATCGCAGGTCTCGAGTAAAAAAAAAGATGAATTTTTTGCTGTAAAATGACGTCGAGTCTCGTGTCTATACGCGTCTGTTGTTGATCGGGGACAGTTTGGTGACAATAATAGTAAGGCCCTGATGTTTTCTAAAAATATAATCGTCGTCGTATCACAATCTTATTAAGTGTGGCGTGGTCGAAATAGCGCGAATGACGTATCAGATTGGCAGAAAATAAGGCGTATATATTAAAGACATTAAAGCGATGACACTATTTAGTAGTTATATTTGAACACGGTGAAACTCCGCATTAATGAATGTCCGGTTCATTTATACTATATGAACAACGCGCGATCAATCTCAATAAAACTGTAAATAACAAGTATAGCACTATAAATAGCAGAGTTTAAAGCAAACGTGATTGGAGGATTTAATTAACAAAGAACCAAAGATAAATAAGGAGACAAAGAAGGCTGAAATGTTTATTTGAACAATTCACATGAAAATTCGGTACAAAGATAAGAGTCCGCTTTAACGGATTAATGGATAGTCCGTATTAACGTAAAACGACTTTATTCGTAATTCGTTGACGCAATCTGGAATGACAATGCAGGACTTTCATTGGGTCTCTTAACATATTATTATCAAGACTATCAGAACCAATACTACAAGTTGTTGCAAATCGTTGTTGATGCTGCAGCTAGAATAGCGATGACGTTAAATGAACAAAACAAAAAATTTATTGGCGATCTGTGAGCACATCATAGTTTTACATATCGCCATTCGTATCATTTCGGCCATCCCGCGTAGTTAGTATGTGTGATATACCTTTTCTCTATCTATGCTATCCTTGCATACCGGAAAAATTCGTGCCGGCCTGGTTGTTTATTTAGTAACATTCTACAAAATACGCCACCATAGTTCGGAGTAATCGCATATCCCGTCAATATATAGCTAATTAACAGCATTTCTGCTTATGAATGACAACCTTCGAGAACAAAAGAAAGCATCATTGTACTACCGTATTTTAAGTAGTCTGCCACAAGATGGTTAAGCTTTACTTGCATGAAGATGACAAAACAATGATTCATTAATATTAACTGGAATGCGTAGATTTTACTTTGCCAGAAAAAGCTTTCTTTCTTTTTAATTAATCGAATCATTTCGTTGATCCACCGGTCATAAAATTAAACCCTTGCTCGTGTTCAATGCTTTATTCATTATTATATCGCATCGCTTAAGTCTCCGTTTATAGAAATAAACTACGAATCTCAATTAGAAAGAAAAAAAAAAGAAAGTTTTTATGTGCAACATTTTTATTTATTGCTGTACGTTGGTATATTTATTTTGCGACCACTTCGGAGCATCGCGGCAACAAGTCCGTTTGTCAGGCAAAATGCGGAGATCGCGAGTTTGACAATGGTTTGACTGTTACTTACCAATTATGTAAATGCTTGCGTCTAGAAAATCTACGATTGGGGGAACGATGAGGAATTGTGCGATTTCAAGAATGAATGGGGTTGAAGAAATAATATCGATCGATTTAAAACGATTAGTACGAAACATTACATTTGAAAATAAGAAGGCGGACAATTTAATTACCAAGCATTCGATATTGATAGACCCAATCAAGGCCAAAGTTCTTTTGCGTTAATTGAAGATCGACTGAGGGTTTCATGGGGGAAAAGGGGAAATTTCTTTTTCCTTCTCTTTTTATGGTCAACAATTTAGCCGACAAGGAGTCAACGTCATAATCATAATGACAGAAACGTTACGTCAATATATCACTGTCATTGTTCGATCATTACGCAGTTGAGTGGAAGTGTGTTATTAGTACATTGTCCATTCCCTCCAGATTTGTTATATCCACAATGATAAACTTTTTACCTTTCTGCGCACCCGTCTAAATCCGTTATTGTCGTCACTATCATACATATTAAACCGTATTTTCATATATGCGAATTACATAATAATAAAATATGATTCTGGGTAAGGCTGAACGTTGGCTTCCGCCTATGGGGAGGCTAGTCTCGATTAGGAGATTCCGATGAATGGAGTCTATGCAATAATCTTATTATTGTCGTTATTGGTTACGCATCCCCCTAATTTAGTGTATTATGTAAGCAAACGTTCTAGACTCATCTTTGAGTTTGTAGCATTAGCAAATTCACCGTGCGTTATTATTAAGCGGTCCAGACCCCTGACTGTTATACATTTAGTTATTAATCATTCGATAACTCTGTAATTCTGGCAGATTCTTTTACAAATCACTTTATCAGGAAGTTGCCCATCCATATCCTTACAATTATATAATACTACAGTCTGGATCCGCCTGTGTTTACGTATAATTATTACATAATAATAACCATATTGCCATGATTTTTTAACGCAAGCATGCGAAATTCATTCTTGATAATTTTATCGGCAATGGAACTATTAATTTAGCGAGACGGGCTAAACAAGGGACTATTGCTATAATCTAAAATATCAGACGACTATAATATAATAATTAATAATTATAAAGTAGTAAAATATATATCGAAAAGACATCATTAAACTAAAAGCATTTCCCAGACTCTCCTTCGTCTGTGCGGCTAATGAGTAACACAACATGCTGCAATATTCAATACACCTATCGTATCGGTTATGACATAACCACCAATAATATTTCTGTTCGTTAAATGTTTGAATAAAATGACAGGAAATTGACGGTAATTCCTGTCCAATATATATAAATATAGCGTGCATTTGCGTGCTAATGAATTAAAGTGAGAATACAGAAACAACTCGCAAGTGATACGGCATAATAACAAATAAATAAATCACGTTTCTCATCTGCCTTGTTATAAATATTACCTCGAATAAACATCCATTTCCTCATCAATTCAAGACGACTTGCAAGTTCACATGGGCAACAACACGTCACTAACCATTTCCCCAACATCATCATTCTCTTCTTCTCAATCCTTTTCCTCTTCCTCTTCCTCCTCCCTCAAATCAAGATTAAAATCCCTCTCACGACCAAAATCAAAGAAACAACCTATCACAGTCTCTTCTCCACAACCAGTTTACTCATCGATCACAGATGAGAAACTGAAACTACTACAACCTAAAACTTACAATGATATTCAGGAAATGCAAGTAGGCCACTACCTATATCAATTCTTATGGCAGAGCCATTTTTCAGCTCCGGTGGAAGAAAAACTGATAAGTGGCGGAAGAGTTTTAGATGTCGGGTGAGTTTTGGATTTTCGAAAAAGAAAAGCTTTTCTTCCACACCCCCCACCCTTTTTTTTTTTTTGCTAACGTGCGTAAATCATCTCTAATTTATCAGATGTAATCCTGGCACATGGCTTTTTGAAATAGCATCTGCATATCCGCTGACCGACTTTATAGGAATCGACATCAATCCTCTTTTCCCAAGCCCCTCGGACATTAGTCAACACAATATCAAATTTGTACAGGCAGATGTGCTCGATAAATTACCGTTCGAGGATGATTCTTTTGATTATATACGAATGGCTTTATTTTCAAATACGTTTACACATGACGAATGGCAACCCGCACTTCAAGAGCTCATAAGGTATGTAAAAGAAATGAAGCGAGTATTGTTTTTATAAAGAGAGGAAATCAGGGTTTTAACGGTACGAAATTTTTCATTCATCAAATAAATTAGGGTGCTTAAACCAGGTGGTTTCATCGAATTAATGGAACCAGACTATCGTTTACAGAACATGGGACCAGATTCTGTACAGCTTGTCACTTCACGTAAGTTTCTTGGCTAATCTCTCTCTCCTCCTCTCTATTGTCGTGTGTAGTATATACTTACATTCCCACCCTTTTTTTTTTTATCATTTCAGTATTGCAGTATCTTTCTCTGCAGCATGTGAACGGTGAGATAGTTCACAAATTACAACTTCTCCTTGCCGCAACTAATGGCCTGGGTGACATTGATCATTCTGTCCGATCGTTACCCATTAGTCATCTTGGCGGAAAGACGGGCGTCTTGTTAGAAGATTCGTTTTTCATTTACTGCAACGAAGTCGTTGGCGAACCTCTTGCAGACTTTATGGAATTGTCGTTGGGAGAGTATGAAGAACTGTTGCAGAGGGTCAAGAAGGAGTTTGTTACGTTTGAAACTTTTTGTAGAGTATATAGATTTTGGGCTGTAAAAAATAGATGATCATTTAATAATGACTTTGTGTAATTTAATAATTATACTTGTATGATATTATCTCATATGAAGCGTTTGTTTCCTTTTTAATTCAGAGTTATCACTTGTTAAATGTAAATATTATTCCCCCTCCCCCCACCTCTTCTTTCATGTGATGATAAAAATATATATTATATATAAAAAAGTAAGCAAAGAATCGTTTTAATTGGCGTAATAATTACTATATGTATTATAATTTCACGTGAGGGGTCTCGGTTTTATATCATTTGCAGCGGTCTGCATCAGGAAGGCCACAGTCTATTTGATATTTCTGTCCAGTTTTTTTATTGTATGCCGTCGCCGTCACTTCCAGCTTGCCGAACATTAATGACAGCTCGACCGGCGGTATTGATTCATCCTGCTGTAGCGGAGGGAGGGTGATAGACCACTTTTTCAAGAGGGACACGTCTTCTTCATTAATGAATTTTACGTCAAATCTACGTGTGCAATACAAGTTCATGCTCATGTCGGTCTGCTTTCTGCTGACAGCAACGTACGTTCGCTTAAATGCCTGATCGGCGGCAATTTCGTCTCCACGCTTGGCTATAAGAGAGAACGCTTCAGAGCCCCCGGTGAGAAAACTGACAATCGAGTCAATAACATTGGTTCCGTAAGTACGTTTAAGCCTGCGTGTCTTTATGGTTTTGTTTAAGCCGAAATTGTCCTTGTTGGGGTCATCTTCGAATTCGAGTCCTATCCATATGTTTGCAATAAGATATAATTTTAATCCACAGCCGAACGCATATTTCTATACTACGACTGATACTAACCATAATGCAATGCCCCCTTGACAACTGCAGAGATTGGATTCATTGGCGTCGCAACGATCCTGACTTTTGTCTTGAACTTTTCATTTACTCGTTGTCGGAGATATTCCGATTCACTTGTATTTAGTATTTAGTAGTAGTATTATTAGTATATCCGATGCAGAATTCAGTTACATTTTGAAATTTTTGGCTCACCTGAAGCCCCCAACCATAAATATCGCCTCAATTTTTCTCCCTGCATTAACCAGCTGATCACTGCAAATTGCGCAATTTGTGAGATTTTGTGTAATCATTGTGCCAAATTAACCAATACTAATACGGGTAAAAAAAAACCCCTACTTGATTAGGCGTAATATCTTGTCGACCACCGTATCAAACATTTTCTTTACGTCTTCAAACTTGAATGGAATCGCCCACCGCAACTTCTCCATTTCTGGCTTTTTGTCTTTATGTGCATTCTCCACGAGAACCTTGCATTCCGATTGAAGATACAGAATAGAAGTATATCCGAAATCTTGTTCATTGCCGTTAAACCGAGATTTCACGCTAAATACAAATCCCTCCAACATTCTTTGAAACTGAGTATAATGATCTCGACGCAGCTCGTCCATTTTTTCCTTGCTGATGCCAAGTTTATCACCGATAAAATTTAAAAACTCGCGGTCAACAAAAGAACCTCCGCATGCTTCGCCAGTACTTTCAGTCTCTTCACCGAGTCCTCCATCTTGCATCAAGTATCTTGTCGTCAGATCGATTGTACCACCGCCACAGTCGACAATCATGAATGCATCTGTGAAGAGAGAAAATGAAAGGCAACAGGTTTCGTGTTGATAAGCTACGTATCCCCCGCTTGCCGAAAGGAAGAGAATTTATCGCAATGTTACCTCCAGGATTTAATTCATACTCGGCACAATTTTTCAAGCAGTACAAGGCCGCTGCCTCGGCTGAATTATACATGTCGGGGAAATTTAACAAGATTTTTTAACAATCTTGTTACGAAAGAATATGATGCGGTCTCTTTTTGTTTTAACAACAAAAAAAAAAAAAAAGGCTTACGCTCTGTCAGGAATTCCAAATTGTCCGCATGCCTTTCCGATATTAATCCGGCCTTGAGAGCACAATTGCGCATATCTGTCAAGGATGTTTGGGGCCAATCCACTGGTAACGTCATTACTAGACGGACTTGATTGGGAAAGGCGACTGTACAGAATGACGTGTGAAGTTAACCGTAACGTAAGCGTTTATAGCACTAAAATATAAGTTGATTCTTACCTCCTCTCCATTTCTTGTTGACTCTATCTTGTATGATCTAGTAGAATTTTCGATAACAGACATGAAAATTTTTTTTAAACTTGATACTTTTCTTCTCATTTCCCTTTCTTCTGCATTGCTCAAAACCGTGAAAAAAATACCTCTCGTAACTTTATCAAATAATCCGTGATGGCTTTTCGAAATTCAAGTTTCTCAGGCAAAAGTGGTTTGGGGAGATGTTCTTGAGTTGAAAAATAGAGCTTGAACTGTTCGGCCAAGAAATGGGAATTGGAACTTCTTTGGCTAGCTCCTCCGTACAGTCCTCCAGCTGCCACCGCAGTATTTCCCCATCCGACTACTTCTAAATCCCGGTTGTACAGCAGTATAGTTGGAACTTTCATTTGGTTTGGTCGCATCAACTCGCCATTGGGCCTTTTGAGTTTTAGGTTTCGCGTGTTAGTAAAGTTGAATCATCAAAAGATGGATCGAGTACAAGTTTAGAGACTCTATATCTCTGCTAAGGAAATATATTTTTAAAAATGCGGTATCCCACTTTCTCAACTTGTGCTTTTACCAGTTATTAAAGACTTCGATGTTATGTTTAGCTTCTACGTGTGCGAGAGCAATACCAGAAAACGTTGTGCCAAAGTCTTTCGTAATGAGCGAGAAGAGAATTTTTATTAGTCACTGTAGTATGCCTTTTGATGGAATCGACAATGGTAAGCCGAATTTCTAACCGATTGACACAACAACACGTATGTCTTTAACACCAGACATGTCGATTTAATTGTTGGCGCTAATCATCAGATTGTGCGCTTATTATAAATAAATAGAATTCCCAAAATATCCATGAAAAAGCACGACTTCTTTAGCGCGAGAATTCAATATATTCTCAATGTCAAATTCCATTTACTCCCATGAGTAAATAATTAATAGACACCATACCAGATTTTCTCGAAAACGTAATATTTCACATAATTTATTATTAGTCGGAAATATTCCTTGGACTATTTATAAATTGATTGTTCGATAAAGAAAGATTTGCATCTTTTTTACTGCATTGTTGATGTAATTGTTTGTGTTTCTGGCTCATGCCAAAAAAGGTATAATGTAGACGTATTTGTGAGAATGAAATCCGAATTTTGTAAACATTCACGCATTATCCGCCATTATCATTGACATTCAGTTTTTGGTTATGATATTTTCAGTTTATTGATATTGAGACTAGTATTCTTTTGGAAAAGACGATAAAAGATACAATGGACGTGGACATTACACTTTATTGTTGCCCACGCAATAATAATCGTGTCGAGATTTGGCGTTGTATGTTTTTGCATACTTGCGTGATAATCTTTTTATTATATTACAGTGACCTAGAAAAGGTAAGATAATGCAAAATTTTGTACGTTGTTATAGTCATACACGTGTACAGCGGTCACATTATTCATTCACAATATGAAACGAGAGGCCAAACCTTTGCTTTAGCGTACACTCTTTCCGGGTCGTTATAATCTCCGGCATACACTAATGGAAACATGCAAATATCAACCTAGACAGAAGGACAAAAAAAAATAATAATTTACTTTCAGTCATAAAGATAAATCATGCAATCTGTTGAACATATATACACTTACCGCAGACCCATCGTCGCAACCATCAACGTCTATCCACGTACGCGCATCCACTTCGAGAACTTCTCTGTGCTCGTACCATTTGAGGCTTGCCCTGGGATAATAAATTTTGAACTGAATACCGAGCAGTTTTATGCATTTCGGTACCAATTGTCTGACCAGATTTTCTTCATCGCTGACATATTTCGGTTCTCTAATCGTGCGAAATTCCCGCAAACGTTTCAAGACGCTCATTATGATATTTTGAATAGCTGGATTCTGTGCCGCGCAGACTTTGCTGCAAAGACAAGGAAGCAATAACTGACGTAGTTTGATAACCAACATTTGAGCATCCTCCTTTTTTTCAACTTCGTTTAAAGCTTTTTCAAGACCGTCTAAATATTGCATCGCGTTTGCTGTCGTTGACATGATATCATCATATTCATGCTGGAAAGACATGGTTTCACTAATTCGGAGCGGTTGCGGGGTGGATTTCACGTAAGTGAAGAATTTTTTTATGGGTGCGGAAGCCCAAGTCTTTGCGACGGAATTTTCTAAATGCACGAAATCAAAATCGTCTCTCATATCATCCATTCCCCGTTGAGTATACTTTTCCAAAGAGTCATCCCACAGTTTTAAAATGAGCTGGATAATATGTTTTTGCAACAGACAGGAAAGAGATGCTCTACGATCGGTACTACGAGGTTTGGAATAAAAGTTGTAACCTAGATGCGAATTTGCGGCTCTGTCATTTATTGAAGTGGCCAGCTCCATCATGCAGACCTGGCTCAAAATGTGCTTCAACTCGGTAACTTCGGCCTCAAAACTTGTGCTGTTATGCGGATTTTCATCACCCAGTTCAGCATTGCTGAATTCTCCAAAAGCAGCTTGAAGTTCACAAGCTTCTTTTCGCCATTGGCTTGCTTGTCGACGGAATTCGCTGTGAGAATCGAGCATATCTTTTATCGCTAAGCTTTTTTCCTCCAAGTCACGAGACAATTCCTCGATTCTAATTTCTGCGTCATCTTTGATCTGCTGGATCTGCTGGTTCTGCTTCACCAGCACTTGGTTCGATTCATGTAAACTCATATATTTCTTTTTGTTTTGATCTAGCTCACTCATCACAGTTTTCAATCTTTGTTGCAGTTCTCTTACGGCACTGTCTTTTTTAGCCAATTCTTTGCTATAGTTTTGTAAATCAACCATTCTCTTTTTCCTGTCTTCTTCAAGACTTCTCTGTCGGTCTCTGCATGTACGATTTTCACAAACCCCCGAATAGAGACAGAGCTCGTCCGTAAGTTTAGTGGGTTGATTTTTGCGCAGCCTTGAGTTGGACATGGTGATATCGTCTGTTGGTTTTTCGATTGGTGTTTGTTGAAAACAGAGCCAAAAAGTTCAACTGCACTGCGTCTTGCTCGCTTAGCATTGATGGCAAATAAGTATTGGGTCAGTCCGTTCTCGCGATTGGATGACAAACTTCTTGCATCAATGCTCCCTCCGTGTGAAAGACGTCTTTTTGAAAATTATCAAGTCTGAGAACTCACTTTCACACACAAAGTCTCATGCCATCATTAAAATGGGAAAGGCATATCCTGTCCGAACCATCGAAATACAAGTGCAGCCTGGTCGATAGACAAGAACCAACTAAAAAGAAAACAATGCGCATTTTGATGAATGCAGTCCATACTCTAATAATTGCGCATTTCTGATGAGAAAATGTAAAATAGAATGCGTTCTGATGAGAGAACACAAATAGAATGCAGTATATTAAAAAAGGTTATCGCATATCCCGAGTAGTTCTATTTTTGCTCGATTGCAAGTAGCGTGACAGAACTTGGGCCTGAGAATAATCACATTCATGATTGTTACCAATTGTTTGTTTTTGTTCCCACAGAACATTGTAAATTGAATATGACCATGTGTAACTATATGCATGACACGTCCGAAGGAGTTACTGACGCCGGCCCATATTGCGCGCGAATGAATTATAAAGTATTGCGGGCCAAAGAACTTTTTTTTTTTTCCCATCCGCCAAGGTCATTGCTAACAAGTATATTTTTGAATCAAAGAAATGAGCTCTACCAAAGATGTTCGCGTAGTAGTCGGAGTCGGTACGGCAATATTCGTCATCTGCCTTTTTTTTCGTTTCTATCCGATATAGGGTTTCACGTAACTTTAAATTCGTGCCACTCTAGATTTTGGGACAACGTTCTCTGGATTCTCGGTTGGTCATATCCGTCGTCCTAAAGAAATCGAGACTTATATAAAATGGTCAAATATATGAACCGTATCGATTTTTGTCTTTTTACGAGTCTATTAATTCATACATGTATGCGCGACTAGGCCGTTGGGCAGATTGACCCGAGCAAACGCGCACAAAATCCCCACCGTCCTCGTTTATGATAAAGATTTCAATGTTACTCATTGGGGGAATTCGGCTGCAGATTGCGTTGAAGACTATGGGAGCGGGGTGACGAGCGACGATAACATTGTTGTGGAATGCTTCAAATTAGGCCTTTCTGAAGCCTGTCCGACAGCTCGCAAACCTGTGCTGCCCGATGGATTGAATTACCATAAAGCTATCACTGATTTTCTCAAGGAAATGCAGAAAGTATGAGCTTTTTCGGTAAATAGCATGTTGTTTGTGTGACATGTGGCACTAACGCAAATTTAATCTGCAGAGAGTCGAAGCACATATCAAGTCTCGATGGGGGGCTGGTAAAAAAAGTCTGGCTTTCCGGAGATAATATAGCGCACCAGATTTAAACATTTTTTGTATCTTCTAGGTCTCGATCTTGCCCGACATGTTTTATTCGTCTTTACATTACCAGTGGAATGGAATCACAAGGCCAAAGATATAATGACCAAGTGTGCGGTTGAAGCTGGTCTGGTGCAAAAAGGAATGGACAACGCAATGTTCATATCCGAACGTAAGATCAAAGGAAATATAATTATGTAATAAATTCAAACATCTGCTGTTCCCATCTCATACGTACTGTATATTTAATTTAAGCGGAGGCGGCTGCCGTGTACTGTCACGAAATAATGGACGAGTATGATCTAGCGGAAGGCAGTGAGTACTTTTAACCACAAATTCGGTATCTCTGATACCAGCCCTTGCGCTAACGAATTGTTGATAACAAAAATTATGCAGGCACTTTCATGATCGTTGACGGTGGCGGCGGCACGGTTGATCTTACTACGCGAAAGTTGCTAACAGATAAACAACTGGGTGAAGTTACCCAGTCGATGGGTAATTATTGCGGTAGCACTTCCGTGGATGACGAATTCCTCAACCAGGTGGCCGAGCGACTTGGAATCACTCGCGACAGGATGAACGAATTACGCAAAATTCATGCGCGTAGATTGATGTATTTGGTTCAAAATTTCTTTTGTCCCATCAAGTTCAATTTTAATGATCGTAGTGAGTATGTAAACAATCGCATAAGTATGAGGGCTTATGATTTTCTAAAGGCAGAAGCGAGCCATGAAAAGCAAGCAGAGCTCGAGCCTCTTAACTGGGTGCTTGAATTCACTTATGATGATGTTAAGGCAATGTTTGAACCGTCAGTTCAAGCAATTCTCGCCTTAATAAGGTTAGCTGCTGTTTCTTCTTCTTCTTTTTCTCCTTAACATACGTTTTGCTCGCATCTGTGTAATTAATACACTGTCTTTGCCTTTTCTGATAGAAAACAGTTAAAAGCATCAAGCGATCGTTGCTCGGCGATGTTCCTAGTCGGTGGATACAGGTGAGGCGGAGGATCTTTCGTAATCAAACTACTATAAAGAGTTAAACAGCAAACTCAATCAGCTTTAATGCACAGCCAATCGCCCTATCTTATGGAACGTGTTAAACAAACATTTGCCTATGAAGTTGATATTATCGCTTCTCCTATTAACCCGATTGCGGCGGTTCAACGGGGTGCAACTTTATACGGTGAGTCCCCCCTTCCGATTCCTTTAACCTACTTGGGAAAATACTTTTCTCATCGAGAAAGACTTTTCTTTTTGCTTCTCCCTACACACAGGTTTAAGTATTGAGGATGACGTAGAATCAGAAATGTACGGTTTCAGTAAAACCGTCAAGACGCGTGTACTCAATTATACCTACGGCACAAACATTGAAATGCCGTTTGCCAATGGCGACCCACCAGAACGCAAGACGGCACGTAATACGATTATTAAATTCTCGATTTTGGCCCGCCGTGGAGACTCGATTCGACGTAACCAGACTTTCAGTGAAACTTATTATCCATCCAACTCGCGACAGACGAAAATGAGCGTGAATATTTACGCGTCACGAGATTATGATCCTGAATATATAGACGATGAAGGTGTAACCCTCATAAGGGAATGGATTGTTGATTTGCCCCACAGACACTTGGGCAAAGATCGACCGATAGAGCTGTCGATAAATTTCGGAAATTACGAAACCAAAGTCACCGCTAAAGATCCAAGGACTAAAAAAGAAGATAGCGTACCTCTCAAATGTTTCGAGTTTGGTCTGTAGAGGGAGGAGGAGAAAAAGCCTGTGAGATGTGTTATACAGTGTGATGTGGGCGGGCCATATATATATATACGTTTTGTTAGCATGATTACCTCTTTATGTTTTTGACTTTATTTGGTTGTACCTGTTTGGAGAACTTGTTAATAAAGACTTGACGTTCACTCTATCAACTTTATCAAGGTTGGAATGTGTTTAAGGAATAATTTCAAAGTATTACCATTAAACATTAACCATTGTAATGTTATGTACTTGGAAGGTTCCTGCCCGCATGCCTCCCGTTTTATCGGCCAATACACCTATGGCAACGTAATACTAACCAAATAAAAGGCTCAAGTTTTTAGTCTGCAAATTTAGTTTGCTTTAAATAGATGGTTGAGATCGAAATTAGTAGCTCGGATTTCACGTGAACGATGTCGATTCTACAAGATTCAAGCAGACATAAAGAATTATACACACTGTTGAAATTTCCAATGAGAGATACTCACTTAAGAAGTGGGAACGGCCCCAATAAATTTCTTCCAAAATCTCTTATGACGCAACTCACGTAAGGGAATAGTTTTTGCGTATACAGTAGCTGTCTAGCATTAATTACCCTTCAATGCTGTCATCACCATTCTTCTTAAACGATATGGCATTTGAATAAAGGATCATGATAATAAACCTACAATAACATTATTCTTTATTAGAACCTAATATCGATTTATAATAAAACTTTATGTTATTTGATTGTTTCGTTAAGTTTTTGTTTTAATCAACACTTTCGTAGTTTAACCACGTACAATATTCTCATTCTGTCCGCCTGCGTTATTGCAAATTCTCGTCAGCTTTATTTAATTCCTTAATTTCGTGTTTATTGTGCCATTAAATTCTTCGCATATACCATAAAGAACATAATTAATTAGTTTGCGTACTGTAATGTAATGAGCAGTAGCATCAATACAACAACAATAGTCGGTATACCTACCAATTTTCTTTATTTGTATTTGTAAAGTTTCAGTAGATTGCTCGCTTCTTCTTCCTTGTGTGTAACAGATTGACAAGTATCACAAATATTCGTTCTTGCACAAAGCGTTGATTGTGCCATAGTTTGTGAGTGCATCATAATGTAACGCGTTAAAAGTCTCGATGGATAATATTTTACAATTTTTTTTTGTTGCTGAATGTTCGGGTTATGTCTTGACATTTCTACCGGGACTTGACATCTTTACAATTCGTAGCAACCATTTATTGTTTTCATCGCGGTACTTTTGTTTTTTACATTACCGTAACACGCTTACACTGCTCGTTGACGGATGACTTTCGACCAATTCCTAACATATTGCGAGTTATCTGAAAAAGAGACGTATTGTAACCAAGTGTATCTAATCAACAGTTTTCTCAAGGTATATGATTTATCAGCAATATTGCTTTACACGATTGCGATACTAGAATAACCACTTACAAATATTCATATCTCTTATGGTATACAACTTTACGCTTTGAGCGGGTTTCTCAAGTTGCAAGAGGTGAAATGGTCGACTTGTAAAAATTATTAAAATTTAATATTTCTTAGCGTCCAATTCAATTCTGACCTTTGTATCTATACAACAATAAACATCCGCGGTCTCCTATACGTAAAGAAAAACTATATTAATATCGTTATAGACAGATATTTTGGATACCTGAAAATTACATACCTCTTTCCAAAGCTAAAGGCATGTTTCGTATTTGCACACACGTATTGTTTGTAAACTCTTGGGCTTACGTTAACTCGAATCTTGGCAAACACAAAATTTCAAACATACCAAGTTTTCCAGAAATATGATTAATAATCCCGGATAACAATAATGATTGTTATTGTAAACTTGTTATGAGACATCACAATACCGATCCGGCCCATGTCAGACTCTCCCCATGAGTTTATTGTGCTGCACGTATCATGCCATAAACCAAATACGATTTGAACAGTTGCACAAGAAAGAGTACGAAACTATATCAAGCATAGATGGTCAGGGTTTGTTCTTTGTGTTGTGAAACTCTATGGCGCTCCTTACATATATGGAAGGCTAGAGATGTCGGTTATTTTGTGATATGCTGATAGATCGTCATATTTGAACCCCTATTCGGTAACCCGGATTTAAATTGACCCGGTTGAAGAGCCAGGTCGGGGGGCATACATGTGCTTTAAGCAAAATGCCTACAACTCTGTGATTTTGCCGCGTTCTTCTGCAGAAATCTGTCGTGTGTGATATTCGACACGTTTAGTTATCTGGTTTGCTAAAAATACGCCCATTTTGTCCGATCCGATATTTTTTTTACACATGACGACAGTTTTAGTATTAGCCTTTACGCCACTTAGTCATCAAACGTAATACCAAAATCTCTTTTCCGAATGGACGTATATACAAATGTACTTTGTTGCATAAAAAAGAAGGTTTTTTGAAAGGCTGACGCGTTTTAGTATAACGGAGAAAGGCGTCTGGTTAAGGGGTAATTAAACTAAATTGATACGTGCTTGTTGGACTGTAAAGGAGGTACAATAGTGATTATTTGATAACGACGCATGCTCTTTCAAAAGTATTCTATTAGACGCAAAGAAAAGCCACATATATCTGTAACCTAAATATGCACCCGATAACATGCTTACTTATAATTATCTAATCTTTACAGTGCATAAATGTCGGCACGCATGTTAATCGATGCGCCCTAATCTGGTTTCCGACATGAGGATTAATTACCTAGTCTTTTACTCAAAGGTCTGTAAAACGCATAGAAGCATCGGCATAGAAGTGTCGAAACGATATGTGTGTTTGAATCTCATTGACTACAATTAGTTTCAGACAATCAACGGAAATCTTGAACATAAAACAAAAACACGAAAATTAAAAAAAAAATTTTTTCACAGAACATACAGTAATAATAAAATTAAATGGTATAGACTGGGATTGAATAAAGTGTCGTATAACTACAGATTTTCGGATATTTGGCTTCTCAATACTTGTAGTCTTATGAAGTTAATCGAAACCCCATTTTGATAATTGCTTGTCAACTAATTATGCTGAAAGTAAAAAATGATAATCGAAAATCATTTATTCGTCCTGATTTTATGTTTACTGCCATATATGTATTAGGGCTGGCTTTTAATTATATTACATACCAAACGCCGACTAATTTAGAATTCCGATATTGCTTCATAATTGTTTTATATTAAGCTTATTATCATTTAATGCATTCGTTTACAAAAAAATGTATGTTTTTTTTTCTTGGAAAAGGGGGTTTATATTGTACTCAATGGGGTCAAAGCGTACAAAATTGGGGAGAAATTAATTACACAGCTGAGACTTTCATTAGTTTCAATTCAATCCGGTTTTAAATAATTTTCTCCCTCCCCCTTTTTCCCCAAAATTAAGACGTACATATTTCTTTTAATTAACGACTGTTTATTTTTGTAGGTTTAGCATTCATGCGTAAATATACGTATGGTTATATATTTAATCGGAATCACATTTAATGTACTGAAAGTCAATCCGAGACCCAAGTATAAGTGTTCATAATTATACATATTATTATTGTGTGTTATGAATTAAGTAAATAGCTTGTAAATAAAAGTAACAAACTTTAAATGTCTGTATATTTTACAAGACTATTTATCAAAAAAAATCGGGCTGTTCAACATGTTACGTATATTCGACATACATACAAACCAGCCGACTTTTTTCTCTTTTCTTGACATGTAAGGGGTTGAAACATATACAAACATAATCAAGGGACCGTATGACATTTCTATCAACGTTCTAAACATGCAATCGACCCTAATGACGCTCTATATTAAATCACATATTGTTAATTACATCATCAATGCTCGTACGATATCTGATAATTGCACAGATTTAAATCTACCATATATGTATATAATATGTAAGTTAAAGAATGCTTTCGCCCATGCGTATATTATCGTATAATAGCTGATAATTAAAGTTAGTATTATTATTATTATTAGACATGACTTGAACCTTGAAAGACCAATATTTATTTTACATAGTATCATGTGGCTGTAACGGATTATAAAGCACATAAGAAGATTATTAATTAGGATGCAAACATGTGTGTCCGTTGATTCAGTATGATAATATCTCGTATCGATGTATTGTTTTGTTTTTTCTCCCACGAACGTATCGGCCTCCTGCGAGTGCAGCAGGCAATCATGCTCTATAGCCATATGGGCTATTGCCGTTTGGTTTTTCTTTTGAACTATGTGCCAATTGAATATGTACTATATCGTATTATTGAAAATATATTTTGCTTTACATGAGTAATCTGTACTATTATTATCGTTTCTATACCTTCAAATCGTCCAGTCCTGAATTGGTCGTCCGCAAAAGGAGTCCAACATTCTTCATAACCGGTATTTCCATCCGATGTCGATGGATTGATGTGCCGGTAAACAATTGGTTGGCTGTGAATACCACCCGGATCCTCGAGGTCGTAAAATTGCACATCAAGAAAGCATTCTTAACGGCGGATAATCAAAGTCGAGTGACTACTATACCATATTACAAACTATTACATGATGGAGTTTTGTTGTGATCATAAGCGTATAGCCAAAACGTTTGCAAGTCATTGTCGTGAGCATAAGCGTATAGCAAAAACGTTTGCTGATTGTATCTATAAATAAACTACGAGTTTTGTTAGAAATTTCGACATTTCTCTTAAAACGTAAAGGAACAAACTACGTACGATGTTTGAACTAGCACTTGTTTACATAAAGCAATACTTACATTTTAACGTTTAATCGGACAAAAGTCGTACTAATGTTTTCGGTCAAAACATTTAATATACAGAAACCGTCTAGACGATAATAGTTATAGTTTGTATAAGGCTTCTTTGTTTTGATACTTGATATGTTGCTTCAATCGCGCGTACTTTGTAGAGACGCAGACATGACTTTTTTTTTTTAAAAAAACATAACGTTGTTAATGTCTATTATCGTACATTAGCTTCATTGTAATGCATTGCGTTTTTAAAACTGTTGCTAAAACACTATAATATTAAATGTTTAGAAAGCCCACCCGTTATATCCTACACATGAACGGCTAATTACCTGTATAATCCAAACATGGCCTGGTTTACATAAAAAAGTCTGTTGAAACAACAAAAGAGTGTATAGAGACGTGTACTTTAAACTAAAAAACCATCATTTCGTGTTCCTCGGAAATTACATACTGAAACAAATATACTTTCTTGAAACAGTCGCCGTATAGTAGATAATTTTACGTACGCAGCATCTTTTACAACTTTAATTGATATAAACAGTGAATGTCTGTATTAGAAGTTTATTATTAATTTATAATTGAATACCTTTTGACAATACTTTAGACTGTAGATGGGGCTAAAACTCAATGGGTTCCAAGTCGCGCGCCGTTGCAAAAAAATTCTAGCTCGCTCACGATACAGCAATTGCATAGGGGTACTGCTTCTTTGTGGTGAGTTTTCTTGCTATAAACAACGACCATTGTTTTTTATGCAGCCTTTCGTCATAGTAAGGTGAATATAAGTGACGGGTTTGCTTAATTGACATCATAGCTGCTAACGAGACGAGCGATCATCAACAAACGAGACAGTCAAAAGGATGTTTCGGGGCTGAACGTTCAAACATATCAAGACTTGAAAGCGCCACAGCTTTTGTCTCGGCAAATACGGAAGTGATCAAATGGAAATGAATAGTTTGTAAATCAAAAGGAATCACGAAAATCGTCGATCAATATGAGATCCAACGATCATTAGGGAATATCATGCCTTCCATTGTGGTGCAACAGGGTTATCGAGAAAAGGTCAAGTCTACTTCAACTTCAGCCCGATAATATTTCCTTTATTAGAAATTGATATTCAAATATGAAATTAATGTTTCGCAGTTCTAGCCAAATTTGAAAGCAAATATTAAATATCAAATAACATACAGTCTTTTAACCCTTCTCTTATAGCACTTGCTAAAAGTAATCGCTTTCTTTTTTTAAAAGGGAATACGAAGAAGCCATGATGACTTTGTGAACCTTTGCGGCATCTGCATCATAATCATGCCCGGAACATGAGGGAGTACGAACCCACGCCAGATACCGAACGTCATGAATATTTGTAACAGCTCTGGTGTTACCGTTTAAAGCAGATCAGTTGATCTCGTGGTCGTGCGTAATGTTGGAAAATAATTCCAAGAATTGCATTGACCCTCGATACGATACGTTCGTCGTCACAGGATGAAGGGTTCGTTGTCTATCAGTTTGCATACGGTATTCTATTTCAGTAAATATTCACCCCCCTCTGTCTAATCTTTTGGTTATCGCACAAAGTCCGCTGACCGATACATGACTATATCATAACAATAAGGTACGATGTTTGTGTTACAATCGGACATGCTTCAAAAAAAAACTGGCACATGAGGGGTGCCCCGTATATAGTGAGCTCACTTGTGTCCGGGCACCCTCATGGTATTCCCCTTAACTATTATTGTGACTAACCATATATGGGTGGTTCGTTGTGTTGAAAGTGTTTCTGAGTAGAAGGTCGGACTACATGTTACATAAACGGTAATTTGCCAAGGTCTGAAGGCAACTTTAAAGAGACAACAAACACTATTGAGTACAGTTCACATGAGACAATAAAGGAGCGAACTCCAGGGTCAGGGTAACCAGACTGTTTACTGCGTATATGGGTATAGTTGTACATAACAATGGATGAAATTGGAAATCCCAATAAGGGAGAACATAAGGCAGTTCGATATATTTATCTCCATATTTAAGCCCATATAGTCTATTGCGCGTGATCCGAAAGGGTCTCTCACCACGTCATACGATGAACGCGACAATGGAAATTTATCAAACTTTATCTTTGTGATTCGGCTAATTTACTCTGCATGATTCTCATGCCTTGCTTTGTTCTGCGGGGAAGAAAGAGATCGGGGATGGGATGCAGAGCTGCTGCGAAAAGACAAACAATGACTAATTTGATTAAGGTTTGAGGCATTATTATTTCCTTGTGGGCTAAAATTTTCGAAAATTATATGCTTAAGTGTTTCGTGACTAATATAATTTTTTTTGTAATACATGAAGGGGAGTGTAGAGTGTATGAGAGAGAGGCGAAGAATAACAAGAAGAAGAATGTATGCCGATAAAGAAAAAAGGATTGTGAGATTTGTCAAAAGACAATCTTTGACGGATGATTGTTTGATAAAGAAAGATAATATCCCGCGGACTGAACGTCGGGCCATTTCCTGATTAATCATAATGTATGCGCATTTAATTATAGTAAATGCGATGAACAAGACAAAAAGTCATGCAACAATTTGTTGTCGAATTGTTTTCGAATGCTATAGAATATGCATTGCCTCTTATGAAGAATAAGATAAAGGTTTATCCGAATATGTTGTCGAATACGTTGTTTCCCATCCCACCTCATCCCATCCCATCTCATGCCACCCCATCCCACCCTATCCCGTACCCTTTCTCTTTTCTTTCTCCTTGTCCTTTTCCGCCCCTGCTTCCCTTCCATTCCCCCGACCACTACATCAAGTACCTGCTTATCCGTATATCTACTTCCGTATTTGTAATAGCCATCGTTAAGTGGATACAAGAGTATCGGATATGACGAACATTGATTACAATGTTTGCTTTATTTTTATGCGCTAACCCAAAGTTTAAAATGTCTCTTTTACTTTTTATCATGGGACTTATGCAGTAACAAGTATACAATGAGCATGGGATCAGGTAGAATCGGAAAAGGAATGGCAAGGGGATCTGGATGAACAGATGCACAGAATTCGGATCCACTGAACTGTTGTGCGAGCATGTCGATTGAAAGAGAGGAAATAAAAAAAAAAACTCTTGTTCCAAAAAAAGATAGAGTAAAAAAAATTGGGGACGAAATATTATCGATCTTTTATTATTAATATTGTCAAAGACTAATCAAAACGAAGGGAATCTAGATTTACCCTATAATTAATATATTACCTAGTTTAATTTGAATGATCGTCAAGCTATAATTCGGGAAAAGTCGGGCCATATAAATTATAGTCTGTTTTCAGTATATACAAGAAAGACCGCTGTTGTTATTGATCTTGTGTTGTTGTAATGATAACGCGAGGGTTACAAGTGATCTCACATTGCATACCAAACATTAATATCTGTGTTCATTTGTTTGTTACATGAAAAAGTCACGGTTTCGTTTTTTTTTTCCTTCGCTCTGTGCGATTTCCCTAGTTAATTTTAGCGCATTTTTATTGGTGCCCTCTCACCATCCAAAAACGTTCGCATGTTTATTACTTTATTTATTTATTTTTCTCTTTTTTGCACTTTTAATTTCTGTCCCCCTGACATTTTCTTCGCCTAGTTTGGAATTTTGCCCCACACACAAAAACGTCCCGGGCTTTTTCACCAGCCCTTTTTTTTATCAATATAATGTCTTATCGATTACCAAATATCGTAACTCCTATCATTCCACGAAAACTAATTGAATAGCTGTAATGCATAAAATCTGTGCGAATTTGCCCAATGGTCTGTTGTCGAGACCGAGCATGTATGTGCATTACCGATTACGGTTAGCCGGGGAAGCTTATTAGTTATTAAAGTATGCTATGCACTATACGGACAGTGGAACTGTCATGGGACATGCTCAGGAAACCGCGAACAGCAAAGAAATACAATAGCACAACATAAATTAGTAGCATTCGAATCGATAGCATATCAAACAGTCATCGGTTCGTTATGATAGAAGCTACCAATTTTAGCCTATCGTAAGTGGATTGGGAGGCAATCACGTGGATGAAGATAACGAATACTCTCTTCTTACTATGCAAAAGGTTGCAGTCTTTTTTCGAGTCCTGTTGATAGATATCTGAGATTTTCACATCTTTTACGATGATGAGAATCGAGTTCTTTGAGTATGTAGTTTGTATTCTATGTTGTATATTTACTCATGCTTTGGGTCTAGTTTTCCATCGGCTGTATTATTATTCCCATGTACTAGTGATTTCCGCAGTTGTACCAGTTTTTTTTGAAGTAAACTTGTATTGGAAAGCGATGACAATGATAATCAATTTATCACTTTATCCTTAACCGATGGGTTCGCACTCTTGTTTACCCTCTCCCTTCTCTTCCCAACCGTTTCCCCGTTCTCGCTAGGATACCCCAAGGCTCTTTCTTTCGCCTTTCTTTCGCTTTCCATTTGTCTCTTTGTTTCAAGGCTTTTTTTTCCCCCGGGTATCTCATGTGGCATATGTGGTGCAGTATGTGTGTCACCACGACTGTAGAATGTGACTTAGTATGTGATTATGCAAAATAATAATATGTGCGTTTCATGGTGTTGGGTAAGCCCAGGTAGCCGAAAGCATATGTATATTTAGATAAATTCTGTGCTCACATTATGCAATATAGATAATATAGATTATAAATCTGTCTCTGTGTTTCATGTCTAAACCATATCGGAGATATCACCTGACCGTCTATTTGGATTAATACCATTTTCCTCCCCGATAGGTCAAAACAACTCTGTTACACACCGTTATTATTTAGCATATATAAAAAAAACATATATAAGGGCTGCAAAACCTACACTGATCGATCCCGCGTTCAACAAACATCTCATACAATTGAGCAGAAAGTTCTTTTTAAACATACAATACTCAACATCGTATCTACATACCCACAACCACCCATCACTTGCTATACTTACTTGCTTCTTTTGAACAATCGCAAAATTAACAACCAAACTACCACCCAGACTGCGACCCCACCTCTTTGAACAATCGACAATTCAGCAATGGCAACTATCAGTCAGGACAACGAATATCTAATCACTCTTCCGTATCCTCCTGAAATTTCCCCCACGGAACTTCTTTCTCGCAAAAAAAGCGGCCCGTGTCTTACAAAGACAGCCAACGCATTCTTTGTATATCGCAAAGCATACGTTAAAGAACTCAAGCGTCAAGGGAAGAGGATAAAGATGACTCAAATATCCGGGGTAATATCATACTCATGGTCTCGCGAACCGGAAAAAATAAGAAGTGCTTACAAGGACATCGCCGATGAAGCAAGCGAAATGTTCAAAAAGATTAATCCAACTCCGGAAAAACAACCAGTGACAACAAAGCCTTCCAACAACCCAAGAGGAACGACAACATCAACAGCCAGTATTACTGCGGTCAAAAGTGATACAGCTACACACGATGCGGCGATGATAACCCCAAATCAATTCAACATGACCCTGCCTCAGGCTAATGTCGGGAATTTGCGAAAGTCAAAAAAGGAAATTGCCCAGAAATTTTCCAGGTTTCAGCCGTATTCGATAGTGTATCCGCCAGCATATTCATACTGTCAATCACCTTCATTCGAAACAATTCAGCTGGGAAACGGAGAATGGGTGCTTCCTTCATTCGAATACCCATTCAACGCAAAGCTTGAAACATACGCCGCCCCTGAACCATTTTACGTTGTATCGGATGATACATCGGCATTCGAGCAATTACCGAGTGAACTGTCGAGCGGAGCAACAACATGCTCTCCTTCACCATCTTCGTCGCCTATTTCTTCCAACACTACATACATCACTCCTGATTCGATGCAATACTATTCAACTTTTGAGAGTATAAATAATTTAGATTACTTTGCGGTACCTGCGGTACCTGCAGTGGTTGCAGGATCGGTTAATCAGACGGCATACGATTCAAATACACTTTTGCTTCAGTATACAGGGGATATATCGAACAGTGAAAATTACATGATGTAGACTAACAATGTATAGAGTAGCTATTGTTGATATATCGTTCTCTGAACTTATAATATATTTACCTTTTCGTATTATACACTAATTGATTGATTTATATGCCTCATTATACTTCTATAGATTTTAAATTTTATTTATTTTTCTTTCACTTCTCTGTTTACTTTTTTTTTTTACGTTTTCTTCTATTGTCTTCTTCTTCTTCTGTCTTCTTCTTCTGTCTTCTTCTTCTTCTTCTTCTTCCGTGTTCTTCTTTCGTTTTTGCACTAAACGCATGGGAGCTGGTATTCTTCGGATTGAAATTTATGTTCTACTTCGTTGTATAGTATTTTAGTTAAGTTTTTTTTTTTATGTTTGTCCTTTGTACATATAAGATTTAAATTTTTGAATAAACATGTGAATTCTAAAGACAAGGAATGTAAGTAAGTGATGATTGATGAAAGCGTTCGCGTAGATTGCCTGATATGTTAACATCGACTTGTTGAGTATGAATCGCTTTTCCGCGCGCGCTGTTCCCTTTGTCCCTTTGTCCCTTTGTCCCTTTGTCCCTTTCCCCCTCTCCTCTTCTCTTTCCTTCCCCACCCCTTCGAATGCTACCGGATAAGGTTAATAACAATGGAGCTAAAAATTTATATTAAAATATGTTACTTTTCTAGATTAAGAGAGATTGTCTCTTGAAAGAGTTTAATTTAATTTGTGGTATTTCGCCTGCAGTAAGCCGAATTGATAACTACGATAAGCGTTATAGAGAATTACATGGAAACCCTACATGATATTCGGGATAAACAATCCGTGGCAAAACAAAGCTGGCGAATATACAGTTGAAGATTTTGATAACATCGAGAAGATAATAGTTAATTGGTTATTGTGTGGATGACCAGTAAGGTTAAGTTAAATTATTACAGAGGGACAAAATCACAGTGGACCCATAAAAGGTATCAAGCAACATAATGTAACAAGGTGAACACATGCTACAAGCTCCATACATGTTTTTGAACCTTGGGACAGTTAGCTTAATCAGCCAGGATGGGACAGCTTGGCGTTTTTTGTTGGCGGGCTAATTTGGCTGAAGTTTCTTTGTTCTACTATAAAATTTTTTTTTTTCATTCTAATCCTCTTCTTCGCCTGTCTTGTTTATTCATAGTCATGTCGATTACAATAGCGATTGGTAACTGCAATTAATGTAACTCTGCCCAATTGTCAACTGCTTTTTTGAATATAGTAAAAAGATACCAATATGTAACCGCAAAAAAAAAAATATGGTACGGGGATTTACCTCTGAATTTGCCAAATAAGACGTTATGAATAAAGGGAAAGCCCAACAAATATTAGCGCGGTAATCGTTCATACCGGGAATTATAATTGGTATTTCGTTATTTGCTATCTTGACAATACGCTTAGAATGCCATCCTAATTAGCATAGTCCATCGTTTATCACTTAACCAACCTTATTCAATTTCATAAACTCAGTCTTTTGCTCGTCGCACGCCTTTTCGAAAAAGACATGAAACACAGCATCATCCCCCTCCCTATTCGTCTTTGGCCGCCAGCCCTTCTCAACTCAATAAGCCCAACGTTTCATAACGCTCCTTGGCATATTGGACGATCATCCCTAATCAGCAAATTCCATGCTTAATTTCATCATGGACATGCATCACCAAACCACATTACGAGATAAATTTGGAACGTATGCAACAGCTGCATTGTCTGAGAGCTAGTGTTAAAGTAAATATTTATATTATGCTATTGTTACAACCACAGTGTTAGCCCTCCCTGCCCTGCCTGTCCCCTCTGTGTCTCCTGCAGGAAAAAGTACATGCTACATCGTGCTCTCACGTTATTAATCCCGCTGCTTTCCCCTCCCTCCATGCCTGATGTATACCGGATAAATTTATTTCCCACATAATTCAATTCGTCTTTTTTTTTTTTTTCACCTTCTTATTACTTTTTGTTCTTTTCACTGTGCGCTGTGTACTGTGCGCTGTGTGTTATCTATTTTTCAATTGTTACCACCACATGGAATGAACTTTGCATAAGAGGCGGAAATTAGCGAAACAACCAATTGATTAAAACAAAGAGAGAGAGGGCGAGAGAGAGCGGATGTGATATTATTATCATCAATTATATGAACAATCGACACATTATTTTACGATTGACATATTAATTTACGATTTCTGTTATTCTTGATTCCTTATTTGTCAAAGGTTTCATGCAGAACAAATAGATTTGCTGGAAGAGTTGCCAACGTTTAAGCTTACGGCCCGGTGACGGTATTATAATTATCATATCGTCACACTAACGGGCCGGCAATGAACGATGCAACCCATTCGTCATTAGAATTTAAGGCACCGGAAATTATCTTGACACTTTGTCTCATTTCGGTAAATTAAACGAATTGCACACACGGACTGAGCAGCAATTAACTGCACCTTTTGTTTTGTACAAAACCCACTGTAATAAATTCGGACTAGCCTTAAAAGTTATGATACCCGTCATAATTTGAAAATTTTGGTACGCATAACTGTGTATCGACATATCATTATCTTTCACACCGATCATTAATCATTATGAAATATCGATTAACAGAAAAAAGCACACAACGTATCCTCCAAGACACAGTGACAATAATGTAACATAAACCAATTATTGTATACCACAAAATGTTTATTTGACTTGAAAGTTCATTGCAATTCGTACAAAACCTTGATTGCTGAAAAAAGTTTAAGACTCATAAACAAGATGTAATAGATCCAAAAATATAATATAGTTGAAAGAATTTTTATTAATATGCAAGGATCGTTAAATGTGTGATACTTAAGTAATCATGGCACAAACCTCGTGTACGAACATTACGTAAACATCAAGGTGTCTTACTTACTAAACAGAGAATGCTTGTCTAACGGATAATGTTACCTAGACTATTCTATTGTCCGTCTTGCAAACCCCCCCCCCCCCTCCCCGCCACCATCCCACCATCAAGCACGCTAAATCAAACATGTATCAAAACCCTAATTGCTTGCTTCATATCGAGTTAGAGTCCCGACAGTTAATCTCCCAATTCATATATCATGAACCACCAATATAATCAAGAAAGGAGCACACCTAACTAATTTGCAAAACTAAGGAGTGAGAGAGCATGATGATCAAGTCATATGTCGGACGAAACGAAAAGAAAGAAAGAAAGAAAGAGAGATTTATTATTAGTGATGACGAACCAATGTATTTCACGGAAGTTGCCGACTTCCGTATTACGTGATACGGAGAAAAAAACCCACGCCCTATTACAGAATTACGTATCGTTTATTTGTCATTGGTCCATGAACCAAATTCAAAATGTCAACCCACAACGGCGTGTCACTTGGTCGTCTCACAAATCTAAACAACGAGAGTAAAGGAAATCGAAATACGATCATCTTTATGAAGGACCCAAACAATAGAGTTTTAATTACGACAAAATGAGTTTAATAGACTTTTTTGGTGGATAACCATTAAAATGGAGACAAGGGATCCAATAACAATAGATTGACCGTTTATTGTAATAATTAATTTACGTTCGAAAACGCTTTGTTACAGAAATTTAATACCCTTTTTAGTATGAAAAACTGTTCTGATGTTTGTAAAAAAATTACGCAAGAGTGTCTTGTAACTTTAAACACGTTTATTTGGCTAGCATGCAAGATCATTAATTATTGCAAATTTCTTTCTCATGCTTATGACAGATCACTTAATATTAATGCAATTTGATACCAGACAAAGTAAACATATGATTACGATATTATTTCAATGTTTGAAAACTGTCGAAGTACCTACCACAGCACGGATTTTTGCATCGATCACAAATTAAATAAATTAATTAAAGCAAGTACAAACAACTATTCTTATTCAAAGTAGAATAATGGGTCATAGTATATTAATATGGTCCCCTAATTTTACCAATTAGCTCGCATTTCTGAGGCTACAGATTTGAATTCCTGTCTTTATCTTACTGGTAGATCTGATATTCTGCCTTGAAAGAGCAAGAAGATTGAAGGAGCTGTAATTATCAAAACTGGTGATTGGAAATATTCGGAGCTTCTAAGAATAAAAGACTTTTAAAATTAAAATTTTTAATTTTGAGCAATCAGATCAAAAAGATTCTGTGTAAACTGGATTACCAATTTTTCGGTGGTACTTTTGATGATTCTTTTCCTGTATAACTGTAACCGGATTAGTCAAAGGCCAAAAAAATATAGCCCTTAATTCGTGTTTTTTTTTGGACAACCATAAGGTTTGTAATAAACATGTTTGAAATTTTTGATTGTGTTGACTCTATTTTAAAAACATACATGACAATTTAGAATAGTCTTCTTAAATCTCAATATTATTCTCCAAAAACTTGTGATAAAAAATTGGTTTGGTGATACTGTTAAAAGTGCCTGACACCATATGATAAATATCAATATGTGTCCTGTTGCAGCAATCTCATAATTGAGTGAAGCTTGAGTGGCAGTACATTACCTAATATGAAATTTATTCCAAATGTTTAATAGTAATGCTAATTATAACTGCTCATATTATGTTTAATTTCTAGTTGACAGACTCTTTAAGTACGTCAACGTTATTGTTAATAACAATTTCATTAGGTCTTCAAGCATAGTTTCAATACTGTTAACCGCTGTCCAACAGTCACTATTGAAGATTAGTCATTCTCTGCGCATTAGTTAATTATAAGAATAAAATTTTTGTAGTTTTACACGTAATTGAAGCCATTTTTAAATCGACATTAATCATACTGTAATTTTTCGAGAAAACTGTTGTCGACATTATCCTTATTTAATTAATATTAACATTTTTTTTAACCATCCCACGCTAATATGATGACTGCCTGCGAAAACATATAACAATAGTAAAGCACTGGAATAATTGCCGTTGGTGATTTTGTGTGTTCTTTATTAAGCACAGCTAAGGTGGACCTCTAAAGCTGCTTTGGCGAGTGTGCCTAGATTTTGTGCAAACTTAAATTACTGCATTATTCTATTTTTTTCCTAAAAAGTACAGTTATCTTTTTCTCTTTTCCTCTGCATTACACATGTTGCAACAATATTTTGCTTGTCAAATAATTTAAGATTTATCTTGTTCAATAAAAATTTAGATTCGACTCGGTTTTTGGCAATCCCACAAATTTCTGACAAGTAAAATTTTGTTTGTTGTTATTACTAATTATAATGCTTCGCGCGCGTTATAATCTTAGTTATTATATATGTGCCTTTGTTCAAGTTATTATTACGCGTGACGTGATTTATTCGAAACGTGTTGGTTAATTGTAAACTTTTTGTCTAATCTTGCGTTAATTGCCACGCATATTATATTTTGGACGTGACCGCACTTATTCTGCATTGTGACAGATTTTAAAATAACAACTGGTAATATTTCTAGAAATTATGCCAATATTAATATTTGTATACTGCCAAGTAAATGCAATTGCATTACGCGAAATTTAAGTGTGCTGCAAGCGATGCCATCAAAGCCTTACATTTTACGCATACGATATTCGTCAATCTCTTTAAAACGGCTTGCAGTATACAGGCAAATCTTGCACAAAGAATTATTTACAGTATAAATAAACACAAAAAACCGATCAAGACAGAATTAAAACAAGTTGGTAGATGAGATTCATAGTGTGTTGTAACTGCTAAAATTACTACGTTTTGTAATTTAATCAACAAAGCAAACAACACTATATGTTTTGGATGACAGCGAAATTAGGCAAAACCCTAAGACACGTAGAAGATTGAAAGCAAATCAATATTTTGTGACAAAGCCAGAAACCCACGCACGGTGTATGACAAGCCCAATACTGAAGAAAAAATATATTAGTGAGCAATAAACTATTGGATTGTGGATGCTTATTGGAATAATGCCAAGATTTGGTAATTTGGCCTTAAATCATGGTCGTTCTCTATAATTAAAAGTGTTGAATGCGGCTGCATATAAGTTTTCTTATCTCTAAAATATACTACATTTCCTTATGCTCATCTACGATCAAGCTATATTAAACAATTACTTTATGTCGTAGTGCTAGACTCAAAATGATATAAATTTTTATTACTTAAAATTAATTTTATTTAATTCTCGAAAGAAATGACTCGCTCAACGATGTCCTGTCGCGGTCAAGTTGCGAATGAGAGAGACGAGCTACGCGTATACCTGTAAAAATAGCGAATATAAATGAAAAACGGAAGCCAAGACTGAGTCCAATTAGTAACCGGCATTGTTTTACGGAAAAATGCGATCTGATTATAATTTGAAACGTGAATTGAAACTAGGTCTCCAAGCGTGTTTCCAATTAATTAAATAATGTTTGAAAAAGTGGGTTACTCGCACTCTACTTTATTATAGTATTCCATGATTACATGGAAAGTGCTTTACAAAAATCCATTTGCTTCAAAAATTATGATTATCCCGCAAGCGCTGTTCAGTCAAAATTTCTCTTGAATAAACTTATTATTGATTTGCTTAAATATTTGGCTTGCATATTAACCTCATTTCATGACATAACATGAAAACACGAATTGAGAACGCGAAAATCATGTCCATCAACCTGATACCATCTCGACACTATATCCACGTTGTGAGGAGGAGATTGATTATGTGAATGAGATGGCTTTCACAGCCACACAACTAGATAGATAATCTGAAGCGAAATGAATGTGCATCAACACCGCACAGTACAACATAAAACTATAAAAACATCACTTCATAATGTTGTGTATAGCGAAAACCAAGACAACAAAATTACGTACGAGTCTCTACGTGTATATACAAACGTTCACATTCATTGTAAGACAATTCTTGTCTATAACCACACAAAAGTTTCGCCGGATGGAACAAGATTCCAGGCTCGCTGCAGATATCCATCATAAATGCGTAGTAGAATAGTGTCTGATGTCACAGTACTTTCGGAAACAAATAGACCAAGTGGGAATAGATTGACCACAAACTTTTGGTAAAGCGTGTTGTGTGCTGAGCCTATTCTTGACTTCTCCGTGCAAAAAAAAAAGAAAACATTGTTGTCCGCTGTCCTCGTAAGCTCCTCATGACTTATTTTCGGTTGCCTCGTCGGTATATTATCTACAGCCCGATGCTCTATCAACTGTTCAAAGAAACAATCATTCTTTTGTGGATCGAGTTGTAGTTTCTTAGATTAGCCAAACGTAGTATATCAAATAGGATATCACTTTCAAGCATTAAAGGTAATGTTCCATTAAAAGTCGTGTCATACCTAGCCGTCGTCCGTTTTCTGAAACATAAGTTTCCTGATTCGCCCCGTTATTAAAGAATACAAATTCAAGTTGATCAACTGAAAAGCTTGTTCATTGAAATGATGTATTATGCTGCCTTGATTATCTGTTCTGTCAATTGGCTTGTAGTTTCCGGAAAAACGATAGATTGCCCAAATCTCGTCAGTTGAAACCGTCACAACCAACCGGGTGCGTTAGATGGCTACAAAGTGGGTTATTCGTTGACCTATAAAACATGCGAGTTATGATTTGAATATAGAGTATCAAGTTTTGGCAACCGTCGTGATATGTAAGTAAACTTTCTCACATTATCAATCTCATCCCCCAGCATTACAGACCGGTTATCAGTAATTTCCTCTCTTTGTTCGCATACGCGTAACCTGATGTTCTACATTCTCCACACCTGGAATCGTTTTCAATGTTCTTCTTGTCTCCTCGATGTCAACGTCACTTTTCTCACATTTTACAAGAACCGCATCCTTCAATTCACCGATTTGTCCAACATACTCTATTTTGTGCGGAAGGTTAGAAATTATGTCCTCGAGGGATGAGTCAGAGAAGAGAGTGACAGCAAAGTAATGATATGAGCCGTAATCAAGAGCATGCGGCGTGCGAGTTGTCGACATTGTAAGCTTTTTGAAAGTGAAAATAACAGACAGCTCACATACTGAACAAGAATTTGATGTGGCTGGTGAGATCAACCAAAAGTGGCTTGGATAATAAATGACGTTTCCGAAAACAATATTTACACAAGTCAATTAAAAACCGGCATTTGCTACCAGCAAGTTAGAATGAACAGGTTGGTAGACGAGTTTTTTCTACTTTGTAAGCAATTGATTTAGATGGCTGTCAAAATTTTAGTTTAGAGTGTAAGCCTTACTTAGTTTATGTACTATTCCTTTTTCTATGAGACAATGAGCATTGTCTTTTTTCAGATTAAATCACTTTTCTCATTTACATTCTGTTGGGAAAAGTCGATTGCGTATGTTGAAGGTTTCATGTTTGTTTATCTGGGCGTAGTTTAGATGCGCAGCATGCACGTATTTATGCATATACCAGCTTATTCGTTATAGTATTCACGCTTGACTTATACGAAAAAAAAAAGAAGACTCATTACGTATTTGCGCTTGGAGAGTACAATTATAGTTTCCACCACATTATTCGAAGATTCGGAAAAGCATAATAATAACAATAACTCTGAAACAGTGTCATGTACGACTGACATTCTTTTGCGATGATTAAAAATAGTAAAATAGTGGTGAATTTTGTAGATCAGAAACGTTTCCTAATGGAACGTTCATCAGTTTTTGTGCGGACGCGAAACTGCGTGGTTTAATCTAATACGACTCGAATAGAATGGTACAATACGTTGTTGATTTTTTGGCATAATATTTGGTGTTCATTTAGGGAGTCATTTTCTCTACTACTGAAAAGTCGGAACAAATACGGTTTATCCGATCTCCTAATTTGGCATGACAATAAACAAATGACAATAACAGCGGTTGAAATAAACTTCTATTCCTAGACGAATCACAGATCATGTGATTGAGCAAGGGGAGTTCTGTACATTGTGACACACAGCGTGCCAGACAAAGGCCTTTAGAAGTTTGATGCATCAGCCTAACCTTCGGCCGATAAACAATAAAAAAAATGATGCTATGTTACCTAATTGTGTTTCGATTATACGCTGTTTACAAGCCATCTGTAGCCATCCTCATGGTTTTCCCAATTAAATAACTCAATAAAGTGTTCAATTATAAATAGACCTGAAGCCAAGCAGTTTTCTCCCGTCTATCGATATCCACATCAAAGTATTGACATTCCCAAGCATTTGCATATCACCTAACAATGTCGCCAGTAAATATGATGATCGATGCGCGTGCTATTCACAACGACACGCCTACAGACTTTAACGGGTTCATTGGATCAGATTCTGTCCGTAGCGGTTGGGATGCCTTATTCAGTCTTTGGTGTACGTGGGCTGTCCACTGGTAAGTCAGTCATAGACAATCACGATTCAGAGCTAAGAAAAGGTACTAACACTTTATTTATACTTAGGGTGTTACGAATCTATTTCGCACGGCCGGCCAAAGATGAGAAAAGTAACGATGAAACGAACGACAGATGTTGTCGCGTTAGTATCACTGTACATTTCTATAAGTTATATTGATATGCCCAGTGACATAGACTGACCTGCATTTTCTTGTTATTTGATAGAGGGCAAAGGCATTTAAAAGAAGTCACAAGCTTCTTACTCATTTATTGTTGGGTCTTCTCACCGCCTTAATTTTCAACAGTATGGCTCGCGGTTCGGGTGTTGCCGTCCAAATCTGTAGTTGGATATACTTTGGAATAGGTTCAATCTGGGTACAAGCGCAATTTGTGGCTAGAAGACATATAAAATTAATCAGAAAAATTGGTGTTACGCTTGAAGCTAGTCTTTTACTTGTCATCTTAATTCACGCTTATATTGGTAGAGTAAGCGATTGAATGTTTATGTAAACCAAATCACGTTAAGCAAAGGTAGTAAATAGTAATAAAGTTTGGAATGTTTTTATTGGAGGGTCAATTTAATCCCATAGTAATAGTTATTTCTTTTGTTATTTTGGGATGTTCAATATTCGGAAGAAGTAATTGTCGATAGATGTGTTTTTGACATAAGACATGCATGTGAGAACAAAGATTGGAATTTCTCTTTCCTATGCAGGTCTTTTGATAGGACAGCGTTAAAAATCAGTGTGAGATTCTAATTCAACGCAGCAACACATTAGTCTAACCCGTTTTAATTGTACAGTACAGCGTGGACTCTATCTTTGTTGTCTGTCAATCATACTTGTAGCGTTTCTTGTTTTGGTCACTCCTGGTGTCGCCCATTTTAGTTTACGTGAAATAATGTGACGTAATATCTCGGAGTTATATCCGTTAGTCCTATTGGATAAACAGTTTCCGAATCAGTCATGTTATGTTCATTAATCACTAGATTTATTTCCATTGTCGCGTATTAATTGTAAGTTTTTAGTATCGCGATTTCAAATTTATCGTAGATTACAGATTGTCTTAAATAAGAATTATTATTAATGAATTTTCTTCATGTTGGAAGAAGGTTTGTCTGCCACCAAGACTGTGTGCTATAATTACAATATCTTCTGCCGCATCAATCGCTCACTTGGTCCACGCAACCTACGGAATCAATCTCTTTGTTCTCTTAATGAGATTGGTTTGTGTGAAGATCTTACAGAATATTTTAACAGTAGGCCTATTACTATAGCCATATTGACGTGTGATTACCTATTCCAGTATTCACATGATAGAATCAAAGATGTTACACCATCGCCGAACTTAATTGTAGCAACGAGGTTGCCTCAACCTCAGCGTCTGTCTGCCTTCATTAGTCAAAATCAACGCGCGACAATATGATCGGGCCGACCTCCTTGTCAATAGTGAATGCAGTCAAAAGAAAGCATACTCAGCGACAATTGCAACAACCTACGCAGAAGGTAACTCAAACTACGGAACATGAGAATATGAAACGACAGGATAAAGACACGGAAGAGGTCAAAGAAAAGCAACAGATAGAAGATCAGGGAACACGTAAAAGAGGACGACCAGCCAAACAAGTACAGCTGACAGAAAACCAGCAGCCGCGTAAGAGAGGCCGGCCGGCCGGTTCCAAAAACAAGCCGCGAACAAACGAGGATAATCTTAAAAAACCAACTAGAACGCGAACAAGAACACGAGAACCTGTGACGACAGAGGCGGCAGCGGCAGCAACCACCACTGTTACCCCCGCCACTACCACCTCCGTCACTACAACCATCGCCACCAACACAACAACAACAACAGCAGCTGTAACGCCAGTGACACCAGCAACAGAAACAACACCAGTAACACCAGTAGCAACAGAAACAACAGAAACAACAGAAACAACAAAAGCGACAGCAGCAACGACGACGATAGCGATAATGACGACGGCGACAAAAACAACGATGGCAGCAACGACGATAACGGAGACGAAAGCAGCAGGAACAGAAACAATAACAACAACAGCAACAAAAGCTGCCACTGCTGCAACAACAGAACCTCTATTAGACCACGTTCTTGTCTTACCACCACTATCTGTTCCATTTTCATCATGTTCATCAGAATTATCGTCTTTGTCGTCACCGTTATCAACTGCATCCTCACCATCGCGTGATTCACAGGATCTAAATGTTTTTTCATTCTCTGCTACCTCTCAACCAGAATCTCCGACTGTTGCATCTCCTTCGACTTCGATCGAACAGTCTTCTGGAATGACACGTGTAAAAATGTTACTAAGTCAGATGGACAATATGTCACTCGGTTACTTTGGGAAACTGGTTGATGATAATTACGACGAGGAATGGATGAGTGAAAGTTATTTGACCGATCTGCGCCATCAACAGCAACAGTCTTCTTTGTGTGTATCCTATCCGACATGGTCGCATCAAGACGAATGTGAATGGAAGACATGGATGCAAGAAGTAGAAGCTGAAATGTCACGTAAATGTCTTGATAGTGATGGTATAAGTAAGGCACAAGAAATGCTGGAGATAGTAGGGAACATGGACTTGTTGGAAATCAAACAATTTCTTAATGTGTTGAATGAAAATTGGATATAAACGAATGTAATTTATGCATTGAATCAAAAAAAAAAAATCTTGGATATTTGGTATGATAAATGGTAATGAGAGAATGTGATGAGAATGTTAAGCTAGTAATGCTAGGGTGTATGGTTATTGTGTTTGTCTCATGAATGGACTTCAAAGTAATACTTACAATACGATTTCTATCAAGCAGACAGATTACTTATAGTTTTAAACTTTTGCTTGTGTGAAGGTCTTAGCTGTTATCACAGTTGAGTGATCTTAGCTGTTTATATATATTATAAAACAGTCACTATTTGTGTTGTAAAAATTGTTTCCCTATTATTAGCAGAAAGACAATATCTCATCAATTAATTGTAGAATAAAAGTATTTGTGATTATTTACAATAATAATAGAAAATATTATTGAATCACAAAGAAATCCATAGAAATACTGTAGTTGATGCTCACCAAAACAATTTGCTGATGTTGTTACAGATTATGTTGCTACCCATATTGATAACTATTTTATATGTGTCAGTCCAATCTTTACTATATAGTCCTACTGATATAATAATTTAAAATACGTGTTGACTCTGCCTATATCGAACTGACCGGCTGGAGAATTTTAGTTCGTTATAACCAGAGTTCGTTATAACCAGAGCTTGCGTTATAATCGGATTTATTGATTAGGAAAAATCGGGTCTGGTGATTCTGGTTCGGTATATCCAAAGTTCGGCATATCCAGGTTCGGTATAGGCAGAGTCAACTGTAAGTATGTGTGTCATTGTGCAATCTTTTTCTTCCATTTGTCAAAGTTATGCTAATTCACTTTAACAGTAATGATTTGTTACCAGTGTATTAGTATGACATTGTTGAATGTTTATTCCTAATTGTATTCACAATTAGGCTCTCTTCTCATACTAATACATCGACTCCTTGAGAAGGAGCTTCAACCCGTCGCTAAATGGTTGCAAGACCCCGTTTACACCGACGACCATCAGAGAATGTAGAAGCCAATATGCTTACCATACGAATGAACTCCTAATGTATAGATTCTCTTAAAATCGTTGTTGCATTGTAATATTAAACGTCGTAAGCAAAATAACTACTGTCTAATAATTAACTGCATAAATTACAATATGATATTCCTAACTTCTTGAAAAAACTTTAGAGGGTTTTAACCCAAAATCAGTTGATTATATTTTTTTATCTCGCATAATAAATTATGCAAGTAATTATTTCACAAATTCACTATATTAATATGCTAACTATATAGTAATAGCTATTTATTTTGCAAAAAAATAAATTATGTAACGGATAAGTTATAAATGGGGCATGCTACAACGAAGTCAGACAAAGTGAACATTTTATAAATGAGAGGCTAATTATGGTGTAGCTGTAAAATTGACCAATGTGACTGATGAAGTTTTGAAAAGTAATAATAATGATGGTGCTCATTCATAATTATAATTTATGGGCTTGTTAATTTTAATGTTCATTTTATCATACCAGAATGTGAAGAATATAAACCATAACATAATTAATATAGGATTATTATTATCCCTATACTAATATATAAAGATATTAATATAAAACTAATTAAATTAAATTTACTATAAAATCAAAGAATTACAGCACTATTAGAAACATTTTAAAAAAATCTCAAGGAGAGAAAATTGCTCCGTATATTTTTAAAATGAATGACACCAAAATTCTTGAAAAATATCTTGATCAAGAAAAATTACTTATGAAAATTTACCAAAAAAGAACGAAAAATAAAAACCATAAACAAACATTGCCACCAACTTATGCTGAACCAAGAAAGAAACGAAAATTAAAAGATGTGTAAGTAAATTTAACATAAAACTTTCCACCTATTAACAAAAAATTGTCATGGTCTTGATAAAAGACTGCTCAAGTGCATTTATTTTTGCATGAGAGGAAAATACTCGGACCAAAAGCCATTAATGAGTATAACCTATTCTTTGGTCACTCTGGTGTAAATTAATTTCATTCCTCTTTACTATCACTGTTATTTCATTTTCTCCATCTGAGTGATTACATTTTTCTTTTTCTCTTCGTTGATCCAACGTTGGATTACCTCAATGGCCTTTTTCCGCGGGATTGTTCCTCGAAAATAAAAAATTTTGTATGGTGGAAGCTGCAGCATCTTTTTCTTCAAATTTCGAATGCCATTTTGTTAAATAAAAATTTGGGATCTGACTCGGTTCTTTTATCGTATAATTGTCTCAAATTATTCCACAACTCTCGATATCTGGTGAATAAATTTTGTTCGCTGATGGCTTCGTTTTGATAATTTTTTGGACTTCATAGTCTTGGTCAGTAGTCTTATGTTGTGGACTTGACTGTTACAATTGTGCTTGTCAACACGCCGAGAACAAAGCCAATAAATACTCCGAAAAAAAAATTCGCTTGTGAATGTAAGCATTTTTTGTAGTGTTGTTGACAGATTTTTTAACGATGCATTGTTTCAACGATATTCATCGCGTTGTGGTTGGTTTTTGAAGTAAGTCGACCGGTGCTGTTTTCATACTAATAATAAAACTAGGCAAGGTTTTTTTGGAGGGGCTTCGCCTCCTCCATTGATATCAGGGATTTAGATTTACAGTATGTTACATATTAATATGGTTAGTTCTTTATGGGAATGAGTTTAATCATAGAGTTATTATGTTTGTGGGTTAATATTAATTGTGGAAAATGTAGAAGTTAAAGGTTATCATTATGGAATTGTTTTTGTAAATGGGGCATGCTGCAATGAAACCAGACAAAGTGAACATTTATAAAATTGAAATGTGGCTGTAATAATATGGTGTTTACGTGGGGCGGTTGAAAAGTTTTGATCGTCTAATTTTTACTCAAAAAGGAAATTTTGTAAAAAAATTTTAAGCCAATAAAAATAAAGTGCGAGTTCGGAGCTTTTCCTGAAAAAAAAACTCTATTGCAATTAGTTTGTTAGTTTGTGAGAAAATTAATTTCAAAAACCTGATATCAAAACCAATGGCTTCAATTACCCGCGAAAATTATAGATTCTTTATTCTTACCTGCTGGAAGAACAAGATGGAGGCCAAGGAAATTCACCAACTTTTGTCACATGCATGGGGTAATGATGCACCTTCAATTGTGACAGTTAGACGGTGGATTAATAAGTTTGAAAGTGGAGAAGAAAATATTGAAGAAAAACCACATTCAGGAAGGCCCAATAAAGCTGTAAATCAAAAAAATATTGATCTAATTGAAGAAGCTGTCAATAAAAACCCTCTATAACAACAAGAGAATTAGAAAAAAATGCAGGCATTAGCCATGAGAGGGTAGTAAACATCATTCATAAGCATTTAGGCCTCAAAAAAGTGACATTTAAATGGATACCACACAAGCTTACAGAGGAGAATAAGCATATTCGAGTGGAGTGCTCCAGACAGCTGTTAAACATTCTTGAAGGTGGGTTTAGCAATATAATTACTGGAGATGAGACATGGGTATATTTTTTTACAGTCTCCAGTAAAGAACAGAATGAAGTATGGATTGGTAAGGAGGAGCAAAGACCACAAATTGTGAGAACATCCAGATTTAGCAAAAAAAGAATGTTCTGTGTTTTTTATACAGTAGACGGATGTATTGCTAGAATAGTGGTTCCAGAAGGCAAAACTGTGAATGGAGAATTCTATGGCAATGAGGTATTGCCAAATGTTTTTAAAAAATTTAGAGAAATAAGAAATAGAAAAACAGTGCAAAATGTTATGCTTCATCATGATAATGCACTGCCACATAAGCATCAATTAGTCAAAAGGCTGTTACAACAGGAGCAAGTAAAACTGCTCCCTTATCCTCCTTATAGTCCGCATTTGTCCCCCTGTGACTTTTTCTTATTTCCAAGACTAAAAAAAGAGCTTGCAGGAAGGAGTTATAATGAGGTAAATAGTCTTGCACGTGGCGTTCAGGCAGTGGTTGACAGCATCCCAAAAGACGACTATTACAAATCCTTTGAGGATTGGAAGAGGAGGCTGAAAATTTGTATAGAAGTTCAAGGAAACTATTTCGAAGGGCTTGTGTGATTTATTTTTAAATTATTATGTACATTGTTGAATAAATAATAGACGATCAAAACTTTTCAACCACCCCACGTACTATGCAAATTACGGCAATTTTGTACCGACATAAAGACAATTGGTTGTAATTTTCGAGAAAAGTAGTGACATATTTAATCCTGTTACTGCTCCGTAGCTGCAGTTCGTTGAAGTGGTAGTATCTATGTTACACGTATAAAAATCTATGAAAAACATACGTGTAACGTAGATACGCCACTTTCACAAGCTGTAGCTTCCGAACGATAACGGGATTATATATATCACAACTTTTTTCAAAAACTACAACCAATTATCTTCAAATCGATACAAAAATCGTTGTGAGTTACATAGTAAATACGTATAATATAGTTCTTTGAAAAAAAAATTTTTCATATGTTTTACTAATTGATCGGCGAGCTGAGTCGATACTTTTGTCCGGTGAGTGTATATGTTGGGGGTGTTTACTTAGTAGCATCAGATGATATAAAGCGATTTTGTTGGCGGATCCAAATTACAGGCAAATTTGCCTGTAATACAGTTTAAGGGATAATAGTGTTAATTAAAAGGCCACTTAGGACATGAGTTAATACCATTAAAACGCCCTGGCTTGGTATACTCATCAATATTTAGTACATGGATCGAGCTCATATTAGAATTTTGTATTAACAAGAAAATTTTTAATAAACCAGCAGAGTATGGTATTTCAATAAGATCTATACCTTGCTGTCCCATCTATAAGCTCTTAGGTAATCTTAGCAACCAACAAATAAAAGTCTTATTCAACCAAACACTGCGGTTTATTGACCATAACTTTCAGCATTGAAGCAAAATTCATGGAGAACGTGAAAACGTACGGTTTGTATTGTCGTCATGTACATGTACAGTACTTCAATCTTGTTTAAAACCAGTATAAGTAAAATAAGCTGCCACTGTCTTCACATGGTGATGTTCAATAAAGATAATTCCGTAGAAATAGAAAAAAGTTGAAACCCATTGACTTCACAAGTTACTATTACTATCGCGGAGGGAGATTTACCGATAATCTTAATCTCGATCGATGTCTGTAACACAAGTATTTATTTTTGATTTTGCACCACTTTACTGTTTTTAAAAGTGATAGCACAAGTGTCAAGGTATCAAGTTCAGAGAAGCAACACTCACTTCGTAGCTACAGCCGAATGGGCGCTTCTCCGAACAAGACACGATAATTTTCACCCGTTCTGAGGATAATATTAACAGGATAGGAACGATGATTAGTATGATGGTTGATGGAACGCAACCGTATTGAACTTACCACAATACCGCAAAAACATCTGTTCCTATCGGTTGGTCGTTAATATGTGGAGTGGTTTTACTGCGCATCGGTTCTGTTCAATTGGCGGGAGTATAAATGCTCTCTCAAACTGCATTTATAAAATAGAACAGTCGGGCATGTTTATAAATGAGTGAGAGATCAGATACTATATAAATATGCCCGATCTAAATCTGGTGATTGGTGTAATAATCTTATCACTCTTATTACTATACCCTGAAATTTTTTCTGATTGTCAGATAGATTATAGGCATGTGAAAATTTTTGAACGGGAAAGTTTATAAGTAAACATGTCCCGAGTACATTAATACTTTGGTAAACCCAACTGTAGAGTCAACCTATAGTTTCAGTGACGTACCTATACAATATGTCTAATGCAACTTTCGCCTCGACTCAAATAGTCGACTATTTTATATCTCTTTTTTATGTTTTTGAATCCACATTAGATTCTTCTTTGAAGCCTGTAGAAGAGACTACTAAAGCAGTTCTATCCAGCCTTGTCCCTTCTCTTTATTCAAATGTCGGACAGTATTTCGCTAGCAGTGCTTCTCCGTTTGCTTCCAGACTTCCTCTCATGAACTTCTTTCATGTATTTGTTATCATGCTGAGTTACTTGAGTTTAGTCTTTGGAGGAAAGGCGTTAATGGAGAAAAGAGAGAAGTTTAATATGAAGCTAGTCAGTTTATTTCATAATTTGTTTTTGGTTCTCTTGAGTACATATATGTGTGGCACGATTCTTATCGAAGCGTGGAGACAAGGATATGGCCTTTTTGGTAACCCCGTGGATAAGACGGAGAGAGGTTGGCAGGTGAGTTATTTTGGTCAAGTGAAGTAATATATGTTTTTATTTACGTCACAGTTTACGTTAGTAACTAAATCGATTTAGTTCGATCGATCATTCGCTGTATGCCATAATTAGTTATCCATGGCATTTACTCTTTCTTTGCTATATTGATTCACCAATGTTTTGCTATATTACTATATTATTAGATGGCCAAATATACATGGCTGTTCTACGTATCCAAAATAGCCGAATTTATGGATACTTATATTATGGTATTAAAGAAGAATAACCGCCAGATTACGTTCCTTCATGTCTACCATCATTGCTCGATCTTTGTAATCTGGTGGGCTGTTGTGTATATAGCTCCCAATGGGGAAACATACTTCAGTGCTGCTTTGAATTCAGGTAAATGATAGAAGAATGTTGTTAACTTGGAGATATTCATGATCATGTTTGTGGCGAACGTTGTATTCAATAATCGTGAAATGCAGAGTTAACCTCTCGTATTATATATTGGCTAATGTGCTTACGTCTTTCTTCACTCTCGTTTATCAGCTGTCCACATAGTCATGTATGGTTATTACCTCAGCACCACACTCTCCATGCCCATTCGCTTCCTCAAACGATACATAACGCTATTCCAAATGACACAATTCACCATGATGATGATTCAAGCAACATATGATATTATTCTGTTTAGATTTGTTAAAGCAGACAGTGAAGAGAAATACCCATTCGATTTAGCTGCATTGCTGTGGATTTACATGTGGACAATGTTGGGTCTTTTCGCGAACTTTTTCAAAAAGGACAGATTACGAGAACAACAACAGAAACTGGCGAAGAAGGAATGAAGATTGTGGTTAGCTACACTGGTCATGAAACTTGTATATTAATAAATCACACACTCATATATCATTCATGATTGATATCTTACGTGAGATTGTATTGTGTTGTGTTTATTTTGCTCCAACGAAAGACAAACATCTTGTCAAGTGGTATGATCAGAGGGAAGCGATTGATATCAATTAATATGTTTCTATTATACTTGTTATTAAATTATGTTATCCCGTTTATGATAGTGATGGGGAGTAACACGAATGCACCTCCATAAACCATTTATTTTCCAATGCACGTGCAATCGTAAATGTCCAGAGTCAAGGGAGAGGATGTACATCACGTGAGTAATAGTAATCGTACACAACGAGTTTATCAACACACAGTCATACATACATGATTGCCTCAAGTTGAAAGTGAATAACTATTAGGCATATCGACCATCAAGCCGTATTCCAATCGGTGTGCACTATTTTTGGGTAAGAGGTGACAACCTCAACGTTACGAATTTTGTGCGTGGGGATGAAACGTTAGATCCATGTTGCAACAGACATTAATTTTCGAGAATTTTTTATTTCTGTGTGATTGTGATCAACCTTTGCAGAGATAATTGTTCTCATCAGAGATTTTGTATATATATCGGTAAACTCAACTCGGTTCTACGCTAACTGGTATAATATTGTTGTAGCGCATTATATCACTCACGTTTGTACGACTGTTATCAGCATATCATTTGATATATCACTGCGAAAACAGACCACAAAGTGAACGCGGGGTAACTTGACATCATGAGTATAGCCATGACTGCTGAACCTAAGAAGCGAATAAATTACTTCTACGATGGTGTGTTGTCGATAGACGATCATTCTGAAAACTTTTATAACGTCTGATGATTATTTGTTTACTGTTTTAACTGACATCCAATTCTCATCCGCGAAATCAGACCTAGTGAGCGACTTTAACCTTCGTAAAGCGCACGTAATGAAGCCACTACGAGTTAGAATGACTCACTCACTTGTTACGAGTTACGGATTGGATAAGAAGATGGAAATCTATGTATCCGATATTATCGCATGTGCTGTTCTCGTTAACTGTGTATAAAAAAGTTATTGCAATGATTGATTCTTTAACCGTGAACTGTTATCATGCAGAGAGCGAAACCTGGTTCCATAGACGAGCTGACACAATTTCATACAGATGACTATATAAATTTCTTGGCCAGAGTGACTCCGGAAAATAAGGATGAATTTGAAGCAGAGCGAATAAGGTGTATGTATATTCTCGATTTTGATCTCTGATAGCTAACTGTCTAACCATTTATTTCACCACGTTTCGCCGCAGATTGCGTTGGAGAAGATTGTCCGATATTCGATGGAATGCTCGAACATGGTCAAAGATCAGCTGGAGGGTCACTCGGTATGTAAAAAAGGACAAGGGAGTGTATTAGAGAACAGTGGAACGAAAGAGTATGTCATAGCATCTAGTCTTGTCAGTTTATTTTATCTTTATAATTCTTTCATCGCCTGACTAGTATCATATTATTTTTGATAGAGGGTGCTGCTAGACTCAATCATGGCTTGTGTGATATAGCTATTAATTGGGCGGGCGGTTTACATCATGCTAAGAAGCAAGAAGCGAGTGGATTTTGTTACGTCAATGACATCGTCATAGCTATACTTGAGCTTTTGAGGTTTGTATGAACAAGTATTCTATCAGTAGTAGAGTATTTTTCTATTCACATGCGCTTTCCGCATCACAGATTTCACGAGCGAGTGCTTTACATAGACATTGATGTGCATCATGGTGATGGCGTTGAAGAAGCATTTTATACAACAGACAGAGTAATGACACTTAGCTTCCATAATTATGGAAATTTTTTCCCTGGTACTGGGGATATAGGAGTGAGTGTTTTATCGAACTTTTTAGTAATATCCGGTGAAATATCTATCTGACCATATTCTATTCACAGGATATTGGTGTTGGGAAGGGGAAATATTACGCTGTTAATTTCCCACTAAGAGAGGGCATAGACGATACATCATATCAGACTATATTTCGACCTGTAGTTACGCATGTTGTAGAATGGTATAAGCCATCTGTTATCGTGCTTCAGTGTGGAGCAGATTCTTTGGCCGGTGATCGGTTGGGAGCATTCAATTTATCTTCGATAGGTAGGAACAATCGGCGTAACAATAGTCATAATGCTCGAGTTGGAAGTATTGAAATTTGTGATTGTCTCGCTATTATACAGGTCATGGAGAATGCGTACGATTTGTAAAAACATTCAATATCCCAATGTTAGTATTGGGCGGAGGAGGATATACAGTACGCAATGTACCGCGCGTATGGGCATACGAAACAGGAATAATTGTAGGAGAGCGAATGAACGAAGGTTAGATATCATGGTTGGCATAACATTTTGCAGTTTATTCCAATTTATTAACCTGCAACTCTTTGGTCTTTGTTGATTATATAGAGATTCCTCGCACTTGTAAATATTATCACTATTTCCAACCCGATTATAAGTTAATAGTCCCTCCTTGTAATATGGAAAATCTAAACACACCCGAATTCTTGAACAAAACAAAGTATTGCTTAAGGACCTTTACATGTTGATATTGGGCATTATAGTAATAATAAGACTAACTACTCCCACATTTCAAGAACCAAAATATACGAACATCTCGCACGCTCGCGACATGTCCCAAGTGTGCAAATGCAGGGTCGGTAACATTGCGTTCTTCCCTTTAAGCCATACGCAAAACTGATTCATAATATTTACTACGTTTATTCATAGACGTTCCACCTAGTTTCCGTGGTCAACAAGACGTGGATGACATGGACGAAGATGACAATCCGGATATACGGAATCCTCGTAATTACTGTTTATTAGGAAAATGATAATGTCGTACTTTCACGTTGATAAATATCCACTGACGCAATTCCATACTGGCTGGCTTACACAGAAAGGCTACGCGATAAGCGTATCGTACCAGATAATGAATTTGAAGAAACAGACGATGACGACGACACCGCATACGACCCGCGCGAACGAATAAAATACGTTCACACGTACCGCCATAAACTACGTGAGCCGGCTGATAATTTTTGCTTGATTCGCTTTCTTCCAAAAAATTGCATATATTCTTTAAAATAAATATGCAAAGCTTTCGAAACACTCTCTACTAATTAATAATTCGCTGGAACTTGGGCAAAGCCAATGTGGCGGTGGCGGTAATGGCGATCCTTTATCTTGAATACGGGAGTGCCGCGGGTGTTTGGGCTGTGAAGGAATCTGTGATCGGGTATATTCGCCTAGACACGATTAATATCGTATGATAGGAGCACGAAGCTAGTGTAATATCCGGGGAGCATACCACGAAGTGGCGCTGAGAATAACCCTCGTCATTCATCACCTCATAGTTTGATTAGACATTTGAATATGCAGATGGAGCAGTGAGATGCAAGCCAAGAAAGATACTTATTAAGTGTCATTGCCGCCCGGACGGTTTATCGAAAAAGTCTGTAACACGTGTTAACATATGCAGTTTCGTCATCATCTTCAAACGATCTAGTAGATTTGGATTTACAACGGAAAGATTTGTTCTTCTCGACTCCTCACCCCAACCCCCACCCCAACATGAAATATAAACTTGATGGTAGCTACTGTACACTCTTAGACAATGCAAGAAAAGTTGAACAACGGTTTAGCCTCCATCGCAACATGTGTAAGTAAACAGACATTTTTATGCAACATTAAAAAAGAGATTAAGCATCTGTGGCTTTCAGCATCAGAAACAAAGACTCTGTCATTGTTCGTTTTCACGCTTTTCGCTATAGATTATTCCCAATTAATAACTTTGAGATTAAAGCCATAGCATCGCTTATCTCCTACTGCCAGAGTTTCTAAGGATCAATGTTTCGAATCTGTACGGCTATTTGTTTGATGCTCGTTTCTTTTCCATCCTTACATTTTTTCGGACCTAGAATATAAGTAGACTTTCAGGTCATTCACATAGAATTATAAAGCTCCGTTATTGGATTAGTTGCTCCAAACACTCACCAATCCGGATTGGCATATACGGTAACCCCACAGAAACATCAAATATTAATATACGAATACGTTTAATACACCTCGTGGTCCATTTCTAGAGAGAAATGTCTTTATCCGCCAGGTTCTTGGAAGAGTTTAGACCTGTTGGATCTTTCTCCACCAATAACGATCCGACGAAAATTCAGTCATTGGCAAAACAAGCAAATCCGTCGGTCTCGTTAATCAAAATAATGCAACATGCCTGATAGCCTAAACCATATTCTATTGTCCGCTATATTACATGATCAATAAAGGATTTTAAGCGGCGGGCACCCTTTCGAAGTAAGATATAGCGTCTTGAGCTTTAGATGACAATGCAGTCGCAAATTATTGCGTGATGGCTACATTAACAGCACACTCCCTAAATGCACGCTCTCAATTTTCAGTCCCAAAAGCGTGCATTTAGGGAGAGTCAACTGTATATGGTGTCCAACCCACAACATCGTCACCAAACTACTAACCAATTTGTCTGGACTTACATGAGAAATGGCTCTTTTGCTATTAGCCAGTGTGGCTGTAAATCAAACCTCTCGTCAAAGGATAACATCGGCTTCAAACAATTACCCGTCATTTTCAATCCATCCATTGTATGTACTTACGGAAATAGGGAAAAAATGTATTAATTTACGGGTTTTAGTGATAATAATAATGATTTGCTATCTAAACTAATTCGCAATAATTGCCATTTTGTACATGGAATTTGGTACTTGGTCCATTGGGTGGATCTCAAAGAATATACAATAATTGCAATTATTGAATTCGCATAATCGTTCAATATTCCAAAGTTTGATTTGCTATCGAGATTAAACAAAAGACGTTGGCACTAAGTTACCAAGAATTCAGATATTCGAGCATAATTGTTTACATTTTTAATGATTGTTGGAAAATCAATGTGAATCTGTTAGCTCTTTTGGTTATTGTGTCTTAATTGTTTCCTCTTGTTACCTGTGATTAATTCCACGTAAGCCAGAATCAATACGCGCTGTTTATATTTTGTCACGTTCCTTACATCGTCATCTTTTTCGCAAGTTTGTACAGAGTTAAGCCATTATTTGCTGTTCTGGTTTTGCTCTTTTCATTAATTATAATATTAAATACATGCTTAAATAAAGTGTTTCCTGTGTAATATGCAGCACGGGTAAACCGTGTCGGTCCCGTGACTCAAAACGCCAAATTGTAATGAGCTTACAACCTAACTAGTGCATAACAAGTACTCTTCACGTAATGTTCAGAGCCTTGTGTTTTTTAATTGATTATATTTTGTATTGACAACATACATGTTTGAATAGGCTGCTCTTGTGTTCCAGCAGCGATAACTGCTATTAGTTTGGGACAAGAACAAGTAAATACTTTTTTGCATAAAGAACCATGATAATAATGAACTGACCATTATATAAATCAAACTAACTATTATTATGTCAAGATTTCGACCTTTTATGATAATATTATGTCTCTTTTGACTCGTTCGCGACAATTAAGTTAACAGAACAGATTATTATTATTATTGTTATTATTATTGTTGTTGTTTTATTATTACGTGTATTATTATCATCATAAATGAATTAACGCAAACCGATTGTAATTTTTTTGGGGATAAATTAATGTACTGTAAACAAATTACGTGAAAATCAATCTAATCGTATTGTTTGATAATAGAAGAGTATATGTGGGGTTCTGAGCTTTAGGGTGGACTCAAGAAGACCCCAAAAGTCGTTTTAATCCGCCACGACCGAATTCATTACAATTGGCCAAAAATTAAAACGCGCGTTGATTATCATTGTCACACACTCATACATGTCAACGTCATTGATTCTGTATTATACAAGTTCGCGAGATTTTACGGAATTCACGAGTTGCAACAAACATGTTTAGGAATGTAAAACAACCTGTTCAGAATAAAGAGAGACCCCGGAAAAGGAACAGTTTGAATCAGGAAAAAGAGAATGAGGCAAGCAGTTACGATACAATTGCGAGTCACCACCAGTCACATCCCGCTTTGCTAACTGCTTTGGTTTCAAAAAGAACTGCCAAACAAAATTACTTATAAAAGATTGGAGATTGGTTGTCGAATTGAAAGGCACGACGGCATATCAATTTCCATTGTCTAGCGAGGAAATCCAACACTTGACTCAACATTACGTTTACCCAGAAGATGATTTTTCGCCAGCATCCGCTGACGTTTTGAAAGGTGCGTTTTACAATCAAGAACTACGCAGGCCACTTACTAAAGCAGAACAACAGGAATTAAATTATTATGATGAACAATTAAAAAGATGGTCTGTCATCTCAACGTGATATATACAGGCAACTCGGTCAAGTCTATTTTGGTAGCTTTGATTAAATGACTTCCTCCTATTTACTTCTGGTACAGGCAAAGGTCATTCGCCAAACTATACGACAAACTACGCGAAAGATCATGTCCTTATTTCTACTACATGAGTTCCGACGTGACAGCGATTTTTCTATCGCCAAAGGCGAGTGAGAATGGAGAGTTTGAGGCAATTGTCCATCGCGTATTGCCGGAACTTCGCAAGACACTTGAAGAAGCGAAAGTGACTTTGACAGCTTGTTCACCGGTGGAGGAACAGACAATGACAAAGAAACTGTAAGATTTGGTTGGTTTTGCAATTTGAACATGCCCGATCTTGTAACTAATGCATATTGGTTTTGCTGGGGTTTTTTGTTCTTTGTAGTAAAATAAGTACACGTGATAAATTGGTGCAGAGTAAACTGAATCAAGTTCTCATGGTCAAAGGTGAGATTGACGTGGAGATAATTTATAAATGTTTATTCGAATGGAAAATGAAGAGTTATGAGAAGCGAGCGCAAGCATTACCCGTTCTTCGAGCGCCAGTTGGATTTGATCGATCTGCTATGACAGAAGCTGTAGTCGAGGTTTGTGTATGATTATGTAGAATATTTATTCGATCTATGCGTACTAGTCTAATAGATTATGAGTTGTATTGTTATACTTTTCCTATACAATCAGTTCGATTGGTTGTATTGATTAACTTTATTCTCTCACCCCTTCTATGTCAAGGTATCCGATAAACCAACAATAGCAGTTCGCCAGAGTTCTCACAGTCATCATTATAGATTGCATCTTAAAGGATTTATTCTTCCACATGCAAGAGAGCAGATTGAAAATATGCTTATGAGCGACGATTCTGATACTCCAATTTACTCTTTTGAATATGATAATCGCACTCTTGGATTAACAACAGCTACATATAATATGTCAAAATAACGGAGAGTACAGATACGTCGAACGAGCTTATGACACAGATGTAATTATAAATAGTGTTTATTACTTCTTTGATACAGACTTTAGATGCAATTCCTATCAAAACTGGCTAATTACAATAAAATTTCAATGTCCATACAACTTTCCACTAGAATAATATTCTCGTCCTCGTGTAGATTAATCCCTCTCGCAGTCATCCTTCTGATCGCGAACTAACGTCCTCTATATATATTAACGTCTCCATTTAACCTGGCGTATTCTGCCATAATACGTCCACAATTAGGACACTCGTGAATTACATTCTTGAGATCGTTCAACTACAAGTAAATCGAAATAGGAAAAACGTACTTGTTAAAATATTCGTCTATGCAATCACGACTCGCAAAAAGCTACTTACGCAGAACGGTATCAGACAACATCCGCCATTCAGACCGAAACACATCAAGGCCAAGCTTGCAAGCCAGTTTGCAGAGCCGTTTCTATAACGTGTATGACTTAGCACTACCTTTCGACAATGTGGACAAGTAGTCACTACTGGCTGATCCTTAATGTCGGTTAGCGGCACAGCAGGCGTTAGAATTACAGTGTCTGGTGAAGTGCCATAAGTTGGATTGGGTATTGCAGGATATGGATTGGAGTATGACGTTTTAGGTGCCGAAGCCTTTAAATGGTCGGTTTCTCGCGGGACAGGGTTTGTCGAGGAAGTAGCGGAAGCTGTCGGTGTATAAGGCGGGGGTGGTTCTTCGATGGTATTTTTTTTACTATCAGACGAATCCCGTTCCATGTCTATTATCTGGGTCACTTGTAAGAGAAAGAGAGAAAAGTCGAAAATTAGCGTATGAGGGTCGTCTGTCGAAAGTATTTATAAAGGACGAAAAGGGTACAATTAGATCATAAAAGGTGTGATGCCGAAAATTCCATGTTATGCCGCAGTCCGGAATGTGAAAGACAAATATACGCCGCAGAAAATTTCAGGGGCCAGAGCAAGCGCCATGGATTCTTAATAATCCCTACTTATTATGCCAAGCCGGGTTATTTGGCCCGAAACCTCTTTATACACGTGTTATTAAATTTTATGATATTTATTGGACAAGGAGATAATCCAAATAGAAACTCGCCATATTATATTTTAAAATTCAGAGTATGTTCACGAGATCGTAAAAGCAAACCTTAGACTCTACTGCAATTTCTGTTGGTTATTCGATAAACCTAAAATTGACCACGGCGCGCGTCTGTACAATAAAAAACGCGCTGCTGTTCGTTATGTCAAAGTTCGACTGTGTAGCAAAAGTAGTAACAAATTTTATTGCGTGCCCGCATGAATCGCGTACGGCATACACGCTTAATGACTAGCTAAAAATTCAAAAGCGATAGAAAGATTGATGATGATGCATAGTATAACGTCGTGGCTAATGTTAAACCATTAGAATGAACGCCATGGTAAATAGTAGACTTAGCTTTATCAATTTGGCAAACATCAATATGTTATTCGTAAATGATTGCTTGTTTCTTGACTTGTTTGACTAGCATCCTTCTGCAAACACGATTTAAAGATCAAGCCCATTATCACACGCATAATACTAATACCGTATGTTCTCCAGTCAATCCATACATACGCTGTTGAACACGAAAATATTTGATTCCAATAGTACAATAGAACAGTTTAATAAAACTAATAATATCATAAAGCCGTTAACTTTTCCTTAATCAAAATATATAGGTAGAAGAAATCTGCGAGTATTACATAATAGAATAGTAATAGTTGAATGCCATCGTAAATTCGTTGAAAAATCCAGTGTTCTTATTGATTGCTCTCCTTTCAGCTAAAGGATGTAATATTATCGATTAATATGATCGATTAAGCCAAATACGGTTTCCTCGTCTTCCTGGCATAATCAATATTAAATTCTTCATGTGAAATACAGAGACACCGATTTCCGAGATTCTCTTTGTGCCAGTGTCTTTATCGTCGCGAATTATAATCAATATAAGCACAACCTCCTCAAATCGAGAAGAAGGTATAAAGTCCAACGCTCCTTTGGCGTAATGTTCACTTTGCAGTTTTACGTCCAATTCTTTAACGTTCACCCTCATCCCTTCAGCTTCAAGTCACTAACATTCACCCGTTTGTTCAAGCATCCTATAATCATTCAGTCTTTCCCCATTCATGATTACTCAGTCCGCTTCACTGACCTCATTAATCTACTCATTGACACAAACTCAAACAGCATAAACAAGAATCGCAACATGAACCGAAAGCGTCAAAGAACCCTAAACACGCTAACCAACAGCAACAATCACAAGTTCCATACAAGCATATGTCAGTTGCACAGTTATTCTCTCTTCTTGTCTGCCCTTTATAGCCAGTGCTTCTATTTCCGTTATCACTACTGTTTCCACTCTTTTCTGCAGTCTGAGAGTTAACAGGAGTCGTTGATGAAAAGGGTTGAGATGGTTGTTGGGCAGGAGCATAAGTAGCATTAGGGTACGTGGGAGTAATTGAAGAATTCGTATACGGTTGTGGAGTAGGCATTGCGTATTGCGAAGGTGACGACGACATTTTACAAGTCGAATGAGTATAAGTAAGTTCAACCAGAGGAAAGATGAGAAAGGTGAGGAGCGTTTCAAGACTATTTAAATGTTTGACTGAACTGAGCGTAATTCCTCAGCAATTTAAGGTTCACAGCATTTATCTCGCTTTGGTTTTTTTTGTGTTGTCTGTTTATGTTTTTATAACTGTCCAAACCTATTTTACTATGACATAATGGGCAAACTTAACAGTGCTGATGATCGTATGTGGCTGGATGATCACGATTACTGTGCGTCATACTTGTTAGTGGCTATACTGAAAAGTCCTTGGCAAACCAAGACTTTTTTAATTTGGGAATCTAATACTAACTAAATTTAATAGTAAACCATGCTTTATAAGTACTGTACATGCTGTATTTACTATTTTGATACAATATCGATATTAATATTGCTTAATCGGTATATCGGAATACAATCAACCATTGGTCAACGATCTCGTGGTACAACGCGTGTAATCTGGTACAGCTTTTTGAAAATGGTGTGTAACGCACCAGTCGTAAGCAATGAACTAGTCCCCGAAAGGATTCTTTCGCTTGCCAGTATAGAAGAGAATGATGGTATGTCCTCTGGAAACATCACTTACAAGTGCATGTATACTAGAACGACTAAAGGAACAGCCTATGTGACAACGAGAACGCCACTAAATACGCGCCCACATCCCAATTTGGTGTTGAAATTCTAGTGTCACAATGGTAAGCCGGTGCAAATATGTATGTTGTATATTATTTGCGTCGTCATACAGCAGTTTATGCTGAAAAAAAATTGTAAAAGACCCGCCAGGAAGTAATGTCAAAGATAGTTAGTTTTAATCTTTAGTTTTCGCGATACTAATTCCGTAGTTCTTTGCAGCCAAGGAAACTATTTGTACAAACCAGCGTTTTGCTCGTCCGGCAGCGTTGAAAATAAGCGGACAAATACTCCTTTTTGTATGCCAAAAAGGCCTTTTTCTTACATAGAAAATCAGTATAAAAGCACGGTCAAATCTTTAGCCATACCTCTCTGGAGAAACCTTTTTTTTTCAACTTAGGTTAAATATTAATATATAAATATGTTTTTCAATTCATTCAATAAACTGCTTGCCAACTATGAACCATGAAAGCGAGGGCAACACAAAAAATCAGTCCAATCAAATTTCAAGATTGACAAAGTTAACCAATCAAATTACAAAATCATGTGTAACACATAAAGTTCAAAAAAAGAAAGAAAATTCAAAAATTTACTATAATAACCAGTCTTTGGCTTCTAAGTAAAATGTTCAGCATGAAATTTTACTCATATATATGTCGTATGTAAATCCCGTCGCCATGTAAATCCCGGATTTACATATGTAAATGCGGTTTTGGGGTCCTTGACGGAATTTACGTACGACATTCATCTATTTATTTTGGGGTCCTTGACGGGATTTACATGGTGACGGGATTTACATACAACATATACACAGTAAAAGTCGATATAGCGGACTAATCGGACCATAATCTTTTTTATTGTAGAAAGTAAATCCGTATTCGATGTAATTTCCTTGAGTGATACTATTGAGGTCGTTCTTGAAAAACCATATACTAATACCGGAAATTTTATTCATAAAGAATATTATGACCTCATATGGGTACAGGATATTTATAAACGATTGTGAGTATAAATATTTGTGATTATTGTCATTTTCATTTGTGACATTTAAGTTTATGCCATTTATTTAGTCTATTTCCTTTCGATGCACCCACCAATTTACTATTGGATCCGGACTCAATGTGAACTTTTTTATTGAGAAAATTTTGTAAATCCCATTATTGTTAAAGTTTTTGACAACTTCATGGATTTAATCAAGGTAAAAACATATCTGATCTGCCATTATTATTTGTTATCTATTCCTTTAATCGCTAACTGGTTGCCTTTGCACAGAGGGGAGGTAGAAAATTTGTCAAACAAAATGCAGAGAAATGAAACTAGGCAATATAAGCAACGGGGTTAGCATTGGATGTTCCCAAGATGTGATATATTCAATTAACGTAAATTCTGTTGTTTTAGAAGTAGGATTCTTGGAGATTATCGGCAATGCCCTCTACATTGATATTAAACAATGACACTGAAAAAGCGTTAAAATGTATGCAAATTTCTATATATATTGGCGCGAGTCAGTTTTTATAATAAATATATTTCATGCGCACTTCAACCTGCACTTTAACCGTACTTAACCATAATTATATTACAAAATATTATATAATTTATTACTTTTCCCATCACATTTCAACCACACTTCAACCATACTTTAACCAGTGTAAATCTAAAAATTCCAATTTATTATATCTGGACGATAAAAAGTATATGCGGGGTTATTACATTAAATAAATGTAATAATTTGATCGTTACACCTTATTATCAGATTCAGAATTCGTAGGCCATGTTGATTCGCTTTATTTTCTTTTGTCGCAATTCTATTTCCTTCTGCAAATTTAATGGTCTATCGAACCTTAGACGTATTGCAAATTTATCATCCTCAGATTTATCCAGATCAATACAACAAACTCACCCTGTTAATGCGTTTTTTACATCATCTGTATATCGTCGAATAATTTTAGAAATGTCTTCATATGAGCTACCTGAATTAATAATATTAAGTAATTGGAATTTTCACGATTAAATAAGTAAAATTTTATAATATTTCTATGACATGTAAATTGGACTGATATTTTCTTTTATGCCTAGAAATTTATCGATTACTTTATCTTTTGCAGATTTATTTTCTATACAAATTGGTGATGTGGAGCATTGACGTGAGCCAGTCTCTATCTGAACCTTTGTCTCCTAACATACGTTGGAATTTAAACTGACATCAGTTATATCAGATGTTCGATACTCTGCTTCATCAGATGTGTTATCGGTATATCCATTACCCCTGCTTTGCAAACTCTGCTCCTTACATCATGTTTAGTTTAGTGATAAGGCAGTTTTTTCCTATCTCTCTGCTCTAAATTCAAGAATCTGGCTTCAATATCCTCCTTGTCTTGTTTTAATTTTGCATTCTCAGTTACGACTTCGATATTCTTAGCTTCAAGCTCAGTATACTTTTTTCTAAGTTCGCTAATCTTATCTGTAAGCTTGGTATTTAATTCTCTTAACAAAACAATTGAATATTGTGTGTCTGTCATCGTTTTAATATAAGGTGTAGACATATTCAATTCTTTATTAATAACATATTAATATCGGGAGGCGATCATTTCGCCGACAATCATTTCACCGACAATTATTTCACCGACAAATGTTCACCAACATTATTTCAAAATTATCCTTTTTGGGTAATAAATTGTCGGCGAAATGAACTGTCGGTGAAATGATACGGACCCATTAATATCTATGCACCTGAAATTGGTATTGCTATCTGTTTCTCTTATAATTAATTGGTATATATTAATATCAGAAAGCGAACCAAAATATAGGTAATTATAACCATATAGGAATGGAGAGGCACTGGGCTACCTATCATACAGTAAATACCTTTTGTGATGTAAGTTATGATAAATATTTACTGAACATCAAACAAAATCTATTTCAAGATATATTTATGATAATGAGTATGCATTACACCATTATGAATTTAAATTGTGGATGCAGAATACTATCAGAAATTAAAAAGTTAAACATGCCAGAGAAATTGGTAAGAAAATTCGAGCATGTACAATAATACAACGTAAATTCATTGATTTTGTGTCCTTTATTAAGCACAGCTAAGGAACGTAAATTCATTGAATATACGTATAATAATAAACCTGATGGTCTCTGCGCTTCAAAATTAGCATTACATTATCAACTATTATGTATATGGACGGCAACAAGTTAACAATGTATAATACACATATCTATTTATTTGATTAATATATCCCGCTTTCTTGTGACTCTATCACTCGAAGCCAGAAAGATAGATGCAGAATGTGTTACATACAATAGATAACGACACATATCTTTTTCCAAACATGAAAGGAAGTAGGAATAAAACCACCTAATACATTCAACTTCATTTTTTCTACTGCAACTCCCATGGCATAATAGTTAGCAAGATTAAATTGAGCATCAGTATCCCCTTGTTCGGCTGCTTTTTTATACCATTCAATTGCTTTTTGTTCATCTTTTTCTATTCCAGTTCCATTTTTATAACATACAGCAAGCCAAGCTTACATTGAGCATTAACACATCCTTGTTCAGCT